CAGTTCTCCAGTTTTGTTCTTATATTTGTTCTTACATTTTTTATTTTATATTGCTTTATTTATTCCAGGTCTTTCCATTTCCATAAAAATTTTAGAATCAGTTTGGCAATTTCTACCAAAGTATCCTGTTGAGATTTTGATTGTTATTGCATTGAATCTATAAACCAATTCAAAAAGGATTGATATCTTGAAAATATTAAGTCTATTAATCTATAAACATGGTATATATCTCCATTTTATTTAGGTTTCTTTCATTTTTCTCTTTGTTTAATTTTAAGTAATGCTATTAGTTTTCGGAATACAGACTTCGTAAAATTTAGTTAAATTTATCCCTAGGTATTTTATATTATCAGATACTGTGTGTTGTTTTACACTTCATCCATCCATCATATCCATTCTCCAACTGATGGATATCCAGGCTGCTCTATCACCTTGCTCTCTCAGTACTGCTTTGAAGAACATCCTCCTTCATATATATTCTCCATGGGACCTGTGCAGTTTGTGGAGTCCATACTCAGGTGGGTTTGCTGAGTCTATAGATATTTAATCTCACCATTACTGCCATATTGCTTGCCAGTTTGCCCTCCTAGTGACTAAGAATGAGAGTTACTATTTTCCCATATGTATGTCTTTCTCAGACTTGAGAATATGATGGCTATGAAGTTATACCTTTTAATTTTAATTTGTATTTCTTTGACTTCAAGCTAGATTGAGTAGCTCTTTATTTGTAAGTCATTAAATTTTCTTCATTTATGAATTACCTGATCGTAGGTTTTGAATATTTTTTCTACTGGGTTTTCTGTTTGTTGTGGTGGTTAATTAACATACATTCCTATGGCAACCTATATATTGATCCTTTGCAGTGTTGGATGTTACAAATGCTTTCTCCCAGCCTGTCACCAATCCACCAACTTTGGCTGTGGTAGACTTTTCTGAATAAAAATCCTTCATTTTTGAAGATGGGAAAACTATATATTGCTTTAAAAAATCTTTCCTCATTACAATGTGTAAAATATTCTCCTACAATTTCTCCTACTAGCCTTGTGGTTCTACTTTTCATGTTAAATTTTTAATTTATTTTGAATTTTAAAAATAAAGGACATGAGGTACAGTTTCAGTCTTATTTTTCTGCATATGATTGGCCAATTTCCTAACTCTATTTATTAAATATTCCACTTTTAGTCCCACTGAGTTGTGATAATATTTTATCACACATCAAATCTCCATATAAATCTGGTCGGTTCCTGTGATCCCCATTTTTTCACCTGGATCGTTTGTCTGTTCCTCCATCATCACCTACTATTTCTGCTATTACGATTTTGTTGTATAATAATATTTGGTAGGTCAATGCACTTTACTTTTCTTTTTTTAGTTAGTTATGCATGAATTTTTATTCTTTCATATAAATTTTAAAATCAGTTTGCTCATTTCTCACAAAATCAGGACTTAGATTAAAATTTCATTGAATTTATATATCAACTATGAGGAAATTGACATATTTTAAAGTTGTTATCCCACCTGTGAACTTGGTATATTGCTTTATTTAGAGAAAATATAAATAAAGCAATATATACTTTTAAATTAAATTTTTTTCCTTGGTAAAGATCTATTGAATTCATTGTTAATTACTAGACATGTTTATCTTTTTTATAACTGTATTGCTATTGTAAATGAACTGTTTAATTTACAATATTAATTATTTTATTAAATATTTGTTTTTAATAAATATAATTATTTAATATCTTATCATTTAGTTATTTGTTGGTGTAGGAAAATACTAATCTTTAGAAAATTTTTTTGGCCTCATTGCAAGGACTGTGGGATCCTAGTTCCCAGAGCAGGGGTTAAATCTGCACCCTCAGCAGTTAAAGAATGGAATCTTAATCACTGGACTGCCAGGGAATTCCCGAAAGTACTGCTTTATTTTTAACTGACATTTTATACTGCAACATTTTGGACACTTTACTGGGACTTCAAAATGACTCACAACTTGGCCTCTCCCTCTATAAGACCACAGAAAGACTACCATTCCCCCAGTTCCCCAGGGGCTTTGCAGTGATTAAGCTGTAGGTAAATTTGGAGGTCTGTCTCAAACTTGCCAAAATAAATTCATTAAGAATGAAGAGGAAGTCCAAAGCATGGGTCATAAATTGAAATACCTAGGTAGGTTAAGTTTAAACAGCAGGGAATGGTGGAGATGGGGGCAAACCAGAGGGCACAAGATCTCTAAAAGGAGCAGACGTTCTCGGCTTCAGCCAGTTCTTACCATGTAGCAATGAAAGTCCAGTTTTTTCACATCTGTAGATTGTTCTAGGAAAAGCCTAAAATCTTTAAGATAACAACATAATTGAATTTTTAAAAGTATTTGGTGGACCAAATAAATGACATCTTTTTGCTAGATCTGTTTCACAATCTACTGAACTTCACCCTCTGGTCTAAGAATGTCCCAAGGAGAGGGGACAATAGGGAAATAACTGAGTATCACCTCTGAACCCCATCCTCCCATTCCCTTTTTTCTCCCAACCCGCCACCCCCAAGCTCCGGCCCTGTTGCCTTCACTGTGCCGGGTTCTATTCCAGCCAGCATGGACATAGACTTATGGGAACTGAGTTTAGAACATAAGGAGATAAGATGGAGATCAAAGCTGGACCTATATCATACTGTCTGAGAACTCCCAAGAGAAGAGGAGTCTAAGCTGGAACAGGAATTGATGGAAGACCTACTAGCTTCCCTGGTAGCTCAGATGGTAAAGAATCCAGCCTCCAATGCAAAAGACCCAGGTTTGATCCCTGGGTCAGGAAGATCCATTCCAGTGTTCTTGTCTGGAGAATTCCATGGACAAAAGAGCCTGGTAGGCTACAGTCCACAGGGTCTCAAAGAGTTGGCAGAACTGAGTGACTAACATTTTTACTCTCTACCAGCTTCAACTGAAGTGATTGAAGTGTTTTGGTTCTGGAACCACTCCTGTTCTTTCCAGAATCAGCTGAGAAGAGCAGGTTTGGGCAACTGTCTCAGATCAGGACAGCTCCCAAGAGTCCATATTCTGGACCTGATTCAACCTCCCACGGTGTTTTTGGTTGGTATTATGGACTGAATTGTGCCCTCCTAAAACTCATGTATTAAAGTCTTAACCCCCAGTACCACAGAATATGATCACATTTGGAGACAGGGTTTTTAAAGAGATATTTAAGGTAAAATGAGGTCATTAGGATGGGCCCTGATCCAATAGGACTGGTGTCCTTGTAAGAGGAGGAGATTGGGGCACCGACACTCACAGGAGGAAGACTATAAAGAGATACCGTTAGAAGACAATGCCACCTACATGCCATGGAGAGGCCTCAGAAGAACCCAGCCCTGCTGACATCTTGATCTTGGATTTCCAGTCTCCGTACGGCAAGGAAATAAGTTCCGTTGTTAAAGTCACCCAGTCTGTGCTACTTTGACATGGCAGCTCTAGAAGACTAACTTAACTGAGTTTCTTGGAAACAGATTCTTAGCGCAGGGTTGTGTAGGAAGGTTTATAGGAGCCTTTACAGGAGATGGCAGGAAATCCAATGTGAAAACAAGGAGGGCAGAATGGGGCAGAGGGGGAATTTGAGCTAGAATGAGGGTGCCACCAAGGTGGTGTTCTGGAGCTGGGGTGGCCCTTCAAGGACTGTTCCAAATTGAGGCAAGGAGCCTTTGTTTTCCTTCATCAATCACTGTCAAGGTGAAGGAGGGGTGATGATTTTTGACCATCCAAGGAATGTTTGGCAGTGTCAGAACCTTTCTGGCTGTCACCACTGGCCTACGAGGGGGTGTCTGCGCTGGGGGTGGGGGGTGCATGCACCACTGGCTTCTAATGGGTAGAGACCAGTGATGCTGCTATTGTACATCCTCATGCCCAAGACAGGCAACCCCCCTCCACCACCCCACAAAAAGAACCACCTGACCCCGCAGGTCAGCAGTGCTGAGATTGTGAAAACCTCCCTCCCGACATTAACAAGTCTTTGGCCCTGAGTTGCATTTGGAAAGATCTCACCTTGGGCAGATCCCGATCACTGATGGCAATTCCCAGTGAAGACTGCAGCTGTGAACTGTCAGTGGCCTGTGTTCCCAGCAGCTGAAGAATAGTGTGTTTGCCATGAAGAGCATCTAGGTGTACCAAAGAGCTCTTGATCTGACCCCTCAACTTCTCTTTCTAATAAAAATAACAACCAACCATGTTCAGGGCACTGTCCTGAGAGTTTTACACGTTATCCTACTTGATTGTTTTGTGTGTGCTGAGTCGTTTCAGTTGTCTGTTGTCTCTTTGCAACCCTACATTCTGTAGCCCACCAGGCTCCTCTGTCCATGGGATTCTCCAGGCAAGAATACTGGAATGGGTTGCATTTCCTTCTCCAGGGGATCTTCCCCACCCAGGGGTCAAACGTGAGTCTTCTGCACTAGCAGGCAGGTTCTTTATCACTAGCACCACCTGGGAAGCCCTGTTATCCCACTTAAGCCTCATGAAAAGCCCAAGAGGTGGGTTATATGGCCAGTATTTGGTAAAACAGTAATCGGGGACTCGGAGAGGTTAATCACTCACCCCAGATTACAGAGCTAGTAAGCAGCAGAACCAGGATTTGTATCCGGGGCTGCCTGACTCCAAAGCCTATTGTTTTCACAAGGAGGAAAGACAATCTTTGCTAAAGCAAGAACAGTACACAGAGGAATAGAGGATGGGCTACAGACTTAGCCGAGAACTGATAGAAACCCGGCCTCACAACAGCCAGAGCCCTGAGACAATGGCTGATACGGTGTGAACATCACAGTATCACAGCCTCTGAGCTCAGGCTCCCTGGAGAGGAGACTCCTGCCACCTCTCTATCCACAAACGTTAATGGTTACCAGCAATAATCCCTCTCATAAGGGGACTTTTTCTTTTTGCCTCCTTGAGGTGAATGCATGGACTTTAGGACTTTGTACGATGACAACAGTTAACTACAAAAAAGAAAAATAAAAAGCAGCCACTTCCTAGGAGTCAATGGTATAAAAATAATTTTTATTTACTACTGTAAATAAAGTAGTGCAAAGAGTAGTTTGGACCCACAATATTGCATTACTGATTTATTTACTACCTTAGCAGCATACAGTGTGGGCAGTTGGTTCTTTCTCTTCTCTCTCTCTCTCTCTCTCTCTCAGACACACACACACACACACACATACACACACCCCACACCCCTACTCAGATGCAGGCAGGCATAAGGGGTGGGGAATGAGACTATGAGCTAAAGGTTTGTCTCCTGCGTTTTCCACTGCTGCCAGTCTATTCTAATGGGTAGTTCATGGAAAAGACTACACTTAAATACTAAGAATTTTCTAAATGTTATTTTATGGATTGCAATTGAAAAGTAAACGACATCCAACAGTGTCATTAACTGATTTGGAAGCATTACGACCCTAGAAAAATTCAAGGAGAAAAATGTAAACCCATTTACAAAGCCATTGCCCTTCCTGTGTTTCCAGCCTTAACCTATTCATTTCAAGGTGCCTCAGAAATGCTGGGTCTTAGATGTCAAATGGAAATCTGTCCTTGGGACTTTGAGGAGCGGGGCAGTGGCAAACACGCATACCAAACATTATCCAACTGGTAGAGAAGTCACAATTTTCTGTTGTTTTAATAAAATGGAATGAACAAGGGGCTAAGATTCTTAAAATGCACCGCAGTGTATAAGGATTTGGATACACCACAAGGCAAACTCTGACTCCCTATTCACACAATCATTAGGTGTGGACATCCAGAATAACCCAGTTAACCTCCCCAGCACCCCGCTGTGATCAGGATGCACCTGGTATTTGTCTGATAACCTTTGGTATAACCACTGTCTGCTCTGGGTATTTCTTTGATTTAAAAGAAAAAAAGACACCGAGTGCAAAATTCGCATCCAGTTGAGAAGACATTTAAGGTGTATAATGCCCCCGCCGCAGCTCTCCAATACCAGTAGCTGAAAGGATTCTCTCTCATCTGGAGAGACCTGGATTGCACAGTTCACCCACGTGGTTCTGGACTGTTGATGACGGTGGGCTGGTCCTGAGCGGAGGCGTCTGCCACTGGAGTCACAGCTGGACTTGCAGTGGGGGCCGTAGGGTCTGCGGAGGCCCCGGCTGGTGTCAGGTGGGGATTGCTGGCTGCAGAGACACGTGCACAACATGTGCTGAATCCTCAAAACAGTACAGGACACACAACCACACCTGGACTCTAGCAAGCAGGAAGAGATGCTTCTCATTTAGTGTCCTTGACACTATAAACAGATGAGCAGCTTTGGACCCATTATCTAGGTTCTTTGGACTTTGGTGTTTCCTCCTATAAAATGGCAATTGGAATAGATATGCAAAGATCTCTGGGAGTCTAAGTCCTAAAATTATGCTGTGAATTCCAGGTAAATATTAAGAAAGAGAGAAAAAGAGGAAAAGAAAGGGAAGAAGATGGAGGAAGGGAAGGAAGGAAGGGAGGGAGGGAGAAACAACTCTTGGTCTATGTTTTCTATGGTCATATCTCTTTTTTTTTTCACTTGGTGTTGGTGCAATGCAAGCTATGGATTATAGCAATCAATCAGAAGAGTGCTGGTTTCATTCATACTCTGATTCCATTTGGGTGATATTCCAAATTTGATTTAAATTGAATTATTTAGGTACATGTATATAAACTTTGGAAAACATAATTACCAGGCTTAATTATTTATCAATCTACCTTTAGGAAGAAGCTTGGGCCACCATAATGATTAGGGAGGCTTATAAGGTTTTATACTCTATGTCAGTAGTTCTCAAGTGGGGGTGATTTTGATTCGAGGAGACAGCTGGCAACGTCAGTAGACATTCCTGTTCGTCACAACTGGAGGGTGAGGTGCTACTGGCATTTTAGTGGGTAGAAGCCAGGGATGCTGCTAAGCATCATAAAATGCCTATGCCAGCCTCCCCCACTCACATCAACAAGGAGTGGTTCAGCTCCAAACATCACAAGTGCTGAGGCTGACACCCCTGCTTTAGGCACTGAGGCTGAGATATATTCTGGTCCATCCATAAGCCTGGGCTCTGGGACCTGGCTGCCCTGCCTTTAATCAGTGATGTAACCTTGGACAAGTTACCTACTCTCCTTCTGCCTCTAAAAAAAAAATGGGCAAAATAAGAATATCTATACCTTATTGTCATAAGGATTAAATGAATTAATGTATATACCATTCTTAGAACAGTGTTTGGTTTGTCTACATACTCAATAGATGTTAGCCATTACTACTAGTGACCTGGCTTACCGTGGCAATAAGTTGATTTATCAATTTCTGGGGCCTGGCTGGGAGGACTGATGAAAGCATTTGTTTCTGGGATGCCTATGGCTCACTTTTAGACCCCAGGAGTTTAGGAAAATAGCTAAAACTTTGAAGCCAGAAAACCTAGGAGTCACATGGTCCTGCCAGTTCCCAGTTGCTGCGTGATCTTGGGTAAGTTACTTTCCCTCTCTGAGCTGCAGTTTCTCTGTCAAATGGGGGGTAGCATGACATATGGCTAGTACAGTGGCCATGCTTTGTGGGAACAATTGCTAGTTTGCCTTTAAGCAGTGCTCTTAAGTTCTGCAGTCCTTGAGTCTTGAGTCAGTAGGTGGGATCATTTTTAAAGGTTCCCAAAGGTCCATTCTGAAATGTACCAACTTGCAGAAGATGCCACCAGATGTTGATCATCTGACTTCTGGACAAACTCTTCAAGATTTCCACCTCTGAGAGGCTATTCTAGATAAAGCAGGAATGGGCTCCAAAGCCTCTGACCTTTTTAAATATGTAAAGGAATTCTTCAATGAACCCCCTCCAATATCTACAGAAGAACTTGTGAATCCAGAGACTGTTCTGAAAGAACAAAACAGTGCTGGTGGTGGTGTGGGGTTGGGGGTGGTGCCCAGGTGTTACGTAATGATGTGACACTTCTAGGTCAGAGGCATCAATCTGGCAGGTGACCTAACCATGGCAGGGACTGTGAGACCCGGTGATTCGGTAGAAAGACCATTTGCTGGAGTCAGGAGACCTGTTCTAGGCAAATCGCACTTATCAATCACTAGTAGGTGACTTTGGGGTAGATACTGAATGGCAGATATTTCAGTCCTAAGATGATGCTTGAATCTCATATGCCTCGGTCTCCTCATCTGTAAATTGACGGGCTTGGATCACATGGTGTCCCAAACCTTCTCAGGCCCAAAGATTTATCCTTCTGAAGATTCTCTGAGGAAGTTAATGAAGTACGAAGTCACCTATTTTTCCATTTAAGCTTAGGGTAATGTTTCAATCACCATGGTAACAAGATAAATCAGCAATCAGTTTTCTGATTAAAACAAAAAAGTGCCAATGTGTAAATGTAGAAAGAATGCATAATTAGCATTGCCACCACTGAAATCTTGTTAGAACGTAATAAAAATGCTCAATGTTTCAGCAGTAAATTTGCTATTATCCATGTGAGAACCCTTCCATTTTCATCAGGGGTTTGCAATCATTGGACAAGCCCCGCCCCCCATAGTGGGTCATAATTTTAGAATGGCCTCTTTGTCTCCACTCACCTGGAATCCATTCTAATTTGATTACTGGACTAGAATCAAGGAAAGCAGGAAAATCAGCAGGCTGCTTAAAGAATTTCAGAGTGCATTCCAAAGCCAAATAGAAGTGATTTCTGGATTATTTGCTGCTTGGGGGACCATTTCCTATACATTAGTGAGAAAAATCAAGAGTTGGCCCTGGGTTGACAGACTGCAGTCCATGGACCTAATGTGACTTGCTGCCTGTTTTTGTATAGTTTGCAATCCAAGAATGGCTTTTGCATTTTAAAATGGTTGAATAAAAATCAAAAGAGTACTATTTTGTGACATGTGAGAAGTATATGAGATTTAAATCTTCACATCCACAGTAGCATTTTATTGAAGACTGGCCACGTCATTTGTTTTCCAGTATTGCCAATGGATGCTTTCGAACTATAATGAAAGTTGAATAGCTGTGATAGAGATGGCCCTCAAAGGCCCAACTGTTTATTATCTGGCCCTTTTCAGAAAAAGTTCGCCAACCTCTGTCGTGGACCACTGTAAGAAAAATATCTGCTTGCCAGCTCACCAGATGTGAGCACAAAGGAAAGAAGAATAGTGGAGAATATATTGGGTGAATTGGGAGATAATTGAATATTTACAAAGACAGGGGAGGTAGGTGGGGGTAAGGAGGTGAGGGAGGGAAACTCTGAAAATCTGAAGATCAAATCTACTTCATTCGGGCCTCTGGCTCCAGCAGGGCCCAGCCCACGTAGAAGATCCATGTCGTTTAAACATTTCTCATGAGTAAAGATACCAGTAGGGCACCAAGGGTAATGAGATAGGAGAAAAGCAAAATCTCACCATTAAATCACTCTGACTTTAAAGCTACTGCTTTTTTCATGAGCACCACTTTGTGACATTTTACTGTAATTTTAGAAGAAACCTCATTAACTGGAAATGTAGAGGACAGGGAAAGAGTAGGAAAAGGTTTAATTAATCTTGTTCGTATCATCTTATTCTTTTTAAAAGACCACTAAGTTAACTACTTAGGGGAAAAGGATGAGTTGGCTTAAATTATGAATGTTTGGAATTGGCTGACATTGGTTCCAAAGGAGACCTTGCTGGAGCTGGTAGTTCTGCAGATCTTGCTCTCTCCTGTGTATTATGTTTAGACATAAAGTTTACACTAGTCCGAGGAAGGCAGGACTTTCTCTGAACTGGTCATTACATTGTCTCCCTCTATTTTCCCTTTTACTTTCTGCTATGCAGCCAGGCTCCACACTTTTTTGGTCTCAGGGGAGATGTGTGACAAGAGAAATGGAGATGCTTCCAGACACACTTTGGGATTTTTTTTCCCCCAAAGCCTGAGTCTATTAAGGCAATTATGCTTGGCATCTTTGATAGGGAAGGAAGAGGAAAAGTGCTTTAGAGAGGCAATGAGGTGGGGAAAGGAGGTTTTTGGAGTGTGAGAAAGAGGCTGAGCCTGGCTAGGGGTGTAGCTCAGTGAGTTCTCATCTTGCCCTGCAGCAATCCGAGAAAGGAAGAGTTGGGGGAAGAAAGGCTAATGGAGATCAGCTTTGGGACTCATTGATGACTCAGAAGCTGCAAAGCTGAAGGACCCGGAAGGAAGCTGTAGGCCCGGGTCAGTGTGTATTCATTCTGCTATCAGACTGGTGATCATCTGAATGGTTAGTGCCACCCAAGACCCATGGACCTTAGCACGTCCCTGGGAGGCATCAGCTTCCAGAAAGATTGAGCCAACTGGGGGAATGCAAACTAGGAATCAAAAACAATTTTCCTCAAAGGAAAAAAAAGATCTTTTGTGCGTACATAGTATTTTTTGTGGACTTATTCTGGTATGCTTGCTAGACTAATCGGTATCTTTGTTCAGCTGGTTTTTGAAGAAGAGTTTTATGTCTTAGAAAGAGTCTAACAGCAAAGAAAAGCATGCTAGACTCTGGTAGTGTTGTGCTACTGACTGAGGTAAACAAGCTCTTTGCTTTAATTGAAAGGACAATGCCCCAGAGACCATTTCTCCTTAGGAAGCTGCCAGCTAACATTTCTTGAGTCCTAAAGAGCCCTATGTTCTTTCATTTGGCTTTCTCAACTACAGTACGAGGTAGGTGCACTACTATTTTTGCTGTTTTATTTATTTTTCTTTCTTTTCTTAAAAAAAAAAATTGGAGTATAGTTGCCTTACAATGTTGTGTTAGTTGCTACGGCATAGCAAAGCGAATCAGCTATATAAATACAGACATCCCCTCTGTTTTGGATTTCCTTCTCATTTAGGTCCCCACAGAGCACTGAGTCAAGTTCCCTGAGCTACACAGTAGGTTCTCATTAGTTATCTTTTTTATCCATAGTACCAGCAGTGTATATGTCAATCCCAATCTCCCAGGTCATCCCATCCTCCCCTAACCCCCTCCCCCCTTGGTATCAGTATGTGTGTTCTCTATGTCTGTGTCTCTATTTCTGCTTTGTAAATAAGATGGTCTTCCGCTGTTTTAGAGAATGGGAAACCGAGGAACAGAGAGGGTCCCTCCCTTGCCAAAGGTCACACAAGTAGCGGCAGGCTGAAATCTCAGCAGCCTGTGCTTTCAGCTACTGTCCCACACTGCTAGCCTTCTGAATGCAGGACAATTTAATGTGGCAAACAGTGAAATGTTGACTATATATCACAAAGAGAATAAACTCGGGAGGAAAATGAAGGTAGCTGGAGCTGAACACAAAATGGATGGACAGTTCAATTTAAAGCTTTGGCCATAAATCATTAGTTTTTAAAAACAACTGACAGTAAAAAATGCAAATCACAAAATGACAAAGATCCCTAACTTATGGCACAATCCTCCCACCCAGAGCCTTAAGGGAGGCTCTGAGCCCACAAATCCTGTCTCCCTGTACTCTGGCAGTCAGCATCCGGCCGCATTCCTGCACCGGCTACACGATGGTCAGGGGTACCACCTGCATCTGCTCCATCCACCCCATTAGGTGGGGCGGCTCATGGACCTCGGACCATGGCTCATCCAGGAGATGCCTGGGGCAGAAACTTTGCCCTCTCAGGACCCCTCTGCAGAGCCTCTCTCCTCTGTGTTTCAATCCCCTTTTGCCCCACTGCCCAATCACTGATGGAGTACCCTCTTATTTCAAAACTAGGGACAAATCTGCACTTATGTTGAAGACTTAAAAAATACGAAAATAATTTACTACATATTTTAATTCAATCCTAGTCCTAACAGGGCTGGTAGATACCACCATGGGGGCATGTTTTGGAAATACCTAGAATTTTTGTGTGCTTTTGTTTTTTTTTTTTTTACCTCAAGGCCCTTGTGACTCCAAGTATGATCCATAGAATAGATCTGTGGATGCAACCTGAAACCCTGTGCGAAATGTAGGATCTCAGAGGCCACCTCCAGACTGAGTGACCTAGAATCTACATTTAACCAGAACCCTGCTTGATTTCTATGCACATTGAAATTAAGAAGCACAGGGCTAGGATATACATATTGAAATACGTGTTATTTTATTATAATTGCTTTCTTTTTTATTTTTTCTTTATATCGCTGTTTAGAGTGTTTTTTAAAAATAAGTATATAGGCAGGTTACTTGTCCTTCATTTCAGGGTACCAGAAGATGTGTTAAAAAATACATCTTATGTAAGATGACAATGGGTCAGAGGCAGATGGTAGCCCCTACTGTAAAGTATTGTGAGTGTGAAAAAGCTCAGACGTCGGCTGCCCTACATCCTTTCTTGGATTTTACTTTGTGATTTTGGGCAAACCATGTCATTCCTGTAGCCTCTATTTTACCATCTGTAAAATGAAGGGCATAGAATTAAATTATTTTATATATACGTATATATATTCAGACTTCTCCAGTGCTCACCAAAGGGAAGAGGTATATATATATAAAGAAGCAAGTGAAAGAGTTTGAAAAAAAAGAAGGAAAAAAGAGAATGAAAGAGAAAAGGATACATAGGAAGGGGAAAACATATCAAAAGGCAGGAGGGACAGGGAGATGGAAATGTGGAGGGACTGATAATGAAGCTATGGAGAAAGGAAAAAAAGATGACTTCTGATAAAAGCCAGTCTACCAGCCCATGAATTTTCATGGCTACCAGCTGGCATAAAATCATAAAGACAATTTTCAGCTCCTCTAACGGAATTGCATTTGTAATAATCATAACAATATTTCTACAGAGTAAAAATGACAAAGATAATTTGAAATGGAAAACACTGACAAGATGCAAAATAAATGTGCTCTACCTGGCAACAAATTTAAGGACGGGACAGAATTTGCATGAGGAAAATTTACCAGCCGGCATGCTACAGGGCATCAAACCTGGAAGGGTTTTTGATGGTTCCTTATTAACCTCCTCAGGTAAATCAGGGAAAATGACTCCGTATTAGCCTCTCAGAACAGTGGCTTCCATCGAATATGTGCTGAAATGCATTCCTTTTGCTTTTCATTATCTGCTACACAAACAACAGCTGGCCGATGCTCAAATGCCATGTCCAGTCCTAATGTATCCATTTGTAAATGTCCCTGTTGGTCTTCGTGCGTAATTCTGTCCTGCTGTAGCTTCCCGGGTGGTGGGGAATTGGAAGTCTCCACCGAGAGGCATTCGCAAATTTGAGCACCTACTAAGTGTGAGGTCATAAATGATGAGACCAAGGCCTTCCTCTGACTCAGCTTATGGTCTCATAGGAAAGACAGACACAACAGCTAACTTTATCAAGAGGGTTTTATATATCAAATAAACATAACAGCTAACACAAACTACAGTTGTCATTTTAGTGCCATGAGTATTTTTTTTCACTGAGCCCTCCTAACAGCCCTGAGAAGCAGCTACTGTTATAACTTTATTTTATTGATGAGAAATTAGAGGATCAGGAAGGTGAAATAACTGTCCATAAGTCACACAGCTAATGAGGCGATAAGCCTGGACTCTAAACCCAGCTAGAAGGACTGCCCCAACCTAGTTCAGAAAAGTGGAAACCACACTAGGCAAAATGCTGGCTTCATTATCTCTCTCTGCCCCTCCCTGTGAATCTAAGTGACTGGGTATTTTATTCATCACAAGAACTTCTTTATCATCTCACATGCTTGACTGGGATAAATAGGAAGACTTTGTGCCAGAGGGAGCCTTGGAACTGAGTTTGAAGACACACGAAGTGTAGTTTTGATGTGCGTGCATGTGTGCTCAATTGCTTAGTCATGTCTGACTCTTTGTGACCCCAGGGACTGTAGCTCACCAGGCTCCTCTGTCCCTGGAATTTTTCAAGCAAGAATACTGGAGTGGGGTGCCATTTCCTCCTCCAGGAGATCTTCCTGACCCAGGGACTGAACCCACATCTCCCTGCATTGGTGGGTGGATTCTTTACCACTGTGCCATCTGGGAAGTCCATAGTTTTTTTGATAGCAGGTATATTTTCAATGGGAGTAGACGTTTTTGTTCAATTTCTTAAGCACCTTATTTTTTTTTGTTTTTTAAATCCTTGCTTACTTTGAAAAAATAACAATACTTGGAGCCTTCCATCAGCCAGAGATTACCATATAGCCCTAGGGGTAACCATCACTCCGTGAATGATCCTCCTAACAAAAGGCAACAGCATGGCCAAGGAGGAAAAGTGTCATTTTTCTAGTAGGGAAAAGAATCACTACTTTTTTATATATGGCCCCAGCTTTTTGTAAATCTTTACCTGAGACAGACTGGAAATATTGCACAGTCCAGGCGATCAATACGGACAGCAGGAAGGTTCCCAGGAAGTAGATCTGCAAACATCCGAAGCAGATGTCAGATGACTGATAGAGGGCAGGGACCAGGAGGGCAGGGCTCGGGGGAGATGGTTTCTTACCAGCGCAGAGTGCAGGACAGTGCCCCAGATCAGCCGGAGGTTAAGGTAAAGCCAGGCCAGGGAGCAGGGGCTGAAGGATTCTTCATTGCTACGGCTCCAGCACCTGCAGACAAACAGCACAGGGCATCCTGACAATGTTGGAACTCGCTGGTAGCATTGCCAATATCTGCAGATCCTCAAACCCATGTCCTTCTGTTTTGGGTCAAATGAGCACATGTAAGATGAGAGGAAAAAGAAATAAAGCAGTTCTGAGGAGTCTGAGCTACATGGAAATACTAGACACCCAGGCAACAATCTCAGAAAAGGTCAGTCTTATCACTTATAAAAAGACATTTCAAGGAAGACTTTGCAGTATGGAGACTGCCAAGCAACACTTTTGTCTGAGTGTCTGTCCAAAGTCCAGACACAGGGATACCTCTCTATCTGCAGAAGAGCATCATCTAATTGGACACTTTATTTTTTCCACTCTCATGGAAAACCTGGGTCAGCATTTTAACTTCAGATCAAGCACATTCTGTATCTCAGTCCTCAGGTACTAGAAAGGGGAATTAAGTTTGGGTCCAGCTGTGTGTCCTCTAATCGAAGCAAATCCTGGGCCCTCTATAACTGCTGACATTAGAAAATAAGGGGCACGTCCCTGGTGGCTTAGGCAATAAAGAATCTGCCTGCAATGCAGGAGACTAGGGTTCGATCCCTGGGTCAGGAAGATCCTCCGGAGAAGGAAATGGTGACCCACTCCAGCATTCTTGCCTGGAGAATTCCATGGACAGAGGAGCCTGGTGGGCTACAGTCCATGGGGTCGCAAAGAGTTGGACACGACTGAGCAGCTAACACTAATACTTTAGAAAATAAGAATAAGGATAACTTTAGCCAAAAAGCAAACACTACCCACGTGGGTTCCTCCAGCAGTCATAGTACTGAAGAGGCTCTGAACTCACCTTTCATACAGTTCCCGGAGGATGGAGATGTTATTAGAATGGATTGTTGGGTCAATTTCCAAGAAATCCAGAATATGATGTGGGATTATAGCACCTTCCTCTATTAGCAGGGCCAGGTTAAAATATCCCTGAAAACAAGCCACAAACCAAACTCATTCTTTCCTTATAATAAAACTTAGACATACACTCATCAGAATATAAACTTTTACAACCTCTGGATTTTTCCTGTCTTTAGAGCCAGATGGCTTTGTCGTCTTCATTGATGAATTGTTTCCCTAAATATATGCATCTGAGAAACTTATTTGCAGGAGAACCAGGAGGCTTTCAGAGGCTGCAGTGTCCCATCTGCTCAGAAGCCAGTCAACCGGGGGAATCTGTCCTTTCCTGCTCACTCTCTCAAGACAGAACTTGCTGGAAAACATGCCCTTGAGTTATCAACAAAACCAGAACACTGAGTCAAAGGCAATGTCCGTCATTACATTACTACCCTGGCTCACCATCAGCATGTCAGAAATCGAACAAACTGTGGCTGTGGGTGGCGCTCATGGCTGATGTTCTAAGTGGAGAGGGTCTCCGACGCACATAATCTTGTATGAGTGTTTGATTCATCTCTCCTAGGCTAGTGAGGAAAATCTCCTCTTCTGATTCCTCTTGGCACAAACCCTCTACTCTGGCATGCTTCCCTACCTTTTCCTTATTAAACATCTTCTTCTTGACCCACAGAGGTAGGAACAACCATATTAGGCTGTGCAGGTGCAATAAAATCACACAGTTAAGAGCCTGATGGTTCAGATGCTTCATAAAGAATGACAACTATTATAGTTCCTGGAGGAGATGCACCATCCATCATGAACTGAGCACGTGGCCAGACCAAAAAATAAACAATGATGTATTACTTATCATTAGGGCTTTACAGAGTCCAATGAGTTGTTGCCCTTCGAAGAATTAAGTCATGCTTTAATGACTTATATCCTCCCTTTTCTTTCATTTAGTTGATTCTAAAAAAAAAAAAAAATCACCAACCCTTGGTTTGTAAACAGCAAGAGTCTCATAAGCATGCTATGTGATGACCATCATAAAAATAACAGAGCCAGCATTTTCTGAGTGCTGTTGTATATGAGGCTTTGTTCTGTTTTATATATTAACTCAATTCCCATAACAACAAATCAAGAAAGGCTCTATTACCCTGTATACTACTATTACTAGGAAGCTGAGGCACAGAAAGGTTAAGGAATTTGCCCTATGTCGTATAGCTGGAAAGGGGATTCAAATGCAAGCAGACAGAATTCACAGTCCCAAATATTAAGCTCCACTATGCTGACAAATAACTTCTTAATAGTTATAGGTATTAGGTATCTTTAGATTTTACACACACACACAAGCAGAAAACAGACAATTTCTTCACTTTTTGAAAGATAGCTCCTCTTAAAATGAGGTATTAAAAGAAAAGAATAAAATGACTTTATAAAATCTTAAAGTCTCTGAGCAATGGAAAAATAACATGGTTAAAATAAATGAGAAAACAGACTAGGGAAATATTTACATGCAATGTAATAGCTTAAAATTCACTATCTATTGGCCAAATGTATAAAGAACTAATTATAATTTAAATTGAAAAATATCAAAACTCCAATAGATAAGCAGAAAAAGAGTAAGAACAGAGAATTCACATAAGAAAATATGAAGAGTAAATAAATGATCATAGACAAGTATATGTAAAAGTGTTCATCCCCAGCAGTGGTCAAGTACAGACAATTTAAAACAATAAGGAAGGATCAACTTGTATTATTCAATTAGCAAAGTTAAGCCATGAAAACATCCAGTGCTGATGTGATTTCCGTTATCCTCTTATACTTAAGTACTGCTTGGTGATGTATTAATTGGGAAACAACTTCAGAAAGCAAATTGGCAATATACTATTATTATGAGCCATAAAACAATTTAGACTGTTTGACTTAGTAATAGCATTTCTCAGATTATAAAGAAATTAATCAAATGGAGGTAAAAGGTAGAAATAAGAACACGTTCATTGTAGTACTTACTATAATTGCAATGCAATAGGAAATGACCTTCACATCTTCCTTAATAGACTTCCTTAGTAGAAAAAAATATTGTCTATTTTTTAATGCGGTGCCCCCACCACTAAGCAGTGTCTAAGACACGGCAGGACTACATAAACATGTGTCAAATCAATCAATATATTAGTGAACAAGATATAATAAATGTCCATGAAAAGATAAAACTTAATAAATTACATTCTATCAGCTTAACAGAATATGGGGCAGTAGTTAAGAGTAATAATTACAGAGATTAGTCAATAGGATGCACATATTCCTGCAATATGTGAGAAGGAGCAGATTTTTCAAGTGGCCGATGTGCTCTAGTCACCATTCCAGAGACCCACTGGCCTGCAGCCAGGACTCAGAAAGGCATGAAAACTGAAGGAACTGGAAACAAAAAAAGACCAAAGGAATAAAGCCCCCTGACATGGAATTGTGGGGTATTCTTTAATATTTTTCTCTTTAAAAATTATTTTTTACTGTTTCTATATCATTACCTTTTGAAAAACAAAAACTCAGAATTGAAAAAAAAAAAAATAGGTCCAGGCCTGATTTTGAGTAACAACAGATGTCATTTAGGGGAGTTTGGCTCCAGAGAAAATCCTTTTAGCACCAAAATCTACTTTATTCCAGAAAAAATAACAATAACATAGGCTAGATCATGTCCACTGAGCATACTCAGAGATGCGCTCGGCACTTTACATCTAGCATCTCATTTAATCTTTGCAACCTATGATTTGGATGCTCTTTTTATCCTCAATTCACACATTAGAAAATCAAGACTCAGTACTTCAGTGACTTTCTATGTCCAAATAACTGTGAAGTGACAGAGATATGGGTAAAAGGAACATAGTACCTCCTTTTTTTAAAAAAAAAACTGAGATGGTAATTCTCTGGCAGTCCAATAGCTGGGGCTCTGTGCTGTCACTGCCAAGGGCCCAGATTTAATCCTTGATCAGGGAACTTAGAAACTAAGATCTCAAAAGCTGAGTGGCATGGCCCAAAAAAAGAGACTGAGATAGGAATGTTCTCAACTTTTGCTCTGTGATCAGATCACAAATCACAACACTGGAAATCTGTGGCATAAGACAGTAACAGCTATTCTAACTTCCATCACGAAATGGCCCTGAGGTCCTTACAAGAGCATTTTGATTAGCAAATATAGAAGGGATGAGAGAAACAGAAAATTATCATCAGCACACCACAGTTGGTTGTTACAGGCAAGATTTACTGAAGGATACTAAAATCAGTGGGCAGAAGTTTGAGGAGAAATAGAATATTTGCATGGTCTCAAATTACCTTCCCAAAATATCTATAAATTAGAAAGAGAAAAAAATATTAACATTACAGGGAAGAAACCCAGCAGAAACCGCCTTCACTGAGTGAATGAGATCAACTTCCCCAGTAATAAGACATCACACATGCCTCATGGGATACACTGAGAAGGACATATCACATCTGGGCTATCCTTGCCCCAGTGGATAAACTCTATATGTTCAGGAGACAACAGGAGACAGACACAAATCAAGGGACATTCTACAAAATATCTGACCAGCAACCTTCAAATGTACCAAGGTGATGAAAGACAAGCAAAGATAGGAATGGGCCCAGATGGAAGAACTCTAAAGAAATAGGACAACTAAATGCAGTGTGGGATCCTGGAACACAAAAGTAACATTAGTGGAAAAAGTAGTGAGGTCCAAATAATTTCTGCCGTGTAGTTACTGGTACTGAGTCAACACTAATTTCTTAGTTTGATAATGGTATTATGGTTATGTGACCTTTCTATAACTCTACAAATATTCCAAAATAAGAAGTCCCCCTCCCCCCCCCCCAAAAAAAAAGGTCACTGAGAATAAAGTCCTATCACTAAAGCACTGACTCAGCTATATAAGTAAACTCCTTCCCATTTTGACCACTTGCAGTTGCTTGAGTTTCTACCTAGTGAGTTAGTTTGATGGAATCTGGTAGGAAGATTCCTGGGTTTGGAGTCAGGAGACCTGGGTTTAGACTCTGACTGCTTCATCTATTACCTGGTTGTTTAGCCTTGAGCATCCTATCACCTTGTCACAATCTTGGCATTCTTTAATATAAAATAGGTCCACTGACCCCCATTCCCACAAGATTGCTATGAGAATGGCATGGGAAACATTGTAAGTGCTCAATAAAAGTTCACCATGCTGGTTAGTGGCCTCAGAGAGGTTGTGAGGGGCTTGTGAAAATGAATGAGAAGTGGATTTTCAACCTCAGGAACCAGCACCACCAGGAGCTCATTTCTGTCGCTATTTACCTGTGAGTCTCCATCCAGCGCTGCTTGGGCGTACATCTGCAGAGACAGCTCAAGGTCTTGTGACTGGTTTTGGTGGCCATAGTAGTAAAGATCTCCCATTTTCAAATATGCTGCAGGACAAGAATTACAGGTCCATTTGTCAAATAGTTTGATATCAGAGCGATATTTTAGAAGAATGACTCATTTGCATTACTTCAAATTTTTTCCACTAGAATCTGAATACAGATACATCTTTAGGTTTCCTTGCTGTTAGGAGGCGGAAAGTGGTTTTTTCACTGAGCACCTCCATTTCTGGACACATTTTCTTGCTTGGCTGGGTAGCTATCCTACATGGAGACTACCCAGTGAAAATCAGTCCAATCAGCCAAGGATGTTTGGGGTATCAAGGTTTCGCTGCCTGGGTTTGATGATTGATGAGCATGTGTTTACTCTGTTTAAGCCATATGTTTTATTTTTTCTCTAAGGAAAAATTTTAAGAGTGTATGTCTCTCTCAATGTCCAATCAGAAAAACAATCCACATTGGACCATTCAAAACTGGGATTTTGCAACTGGCTACTGGTGTTGGAAGAGCTGAAAGGGCAAATGGGAAAGAGTAGGCAACCCAGAGATTAGCAATGCAGGAAGCTACAACCTCCCCAGAGCCGGGGGCCAGCTGAGGCCACAGGGGATGGACTGCCAGGCAGGAGCTGGGACCATGGAAATGCAGCCTTTGACAGAGATACAGCCCAAAGCAGACACAGAAGTGGAGAAGTTGGGCTTCTCCCCTCCTCCCGCCCTGAAATCTCCTGCCTGCCCCTCCCATTGGCTGAAACTAATCAGATGCAAAGGGGTCTGGGAACTGCAGTTCCTGAGAGTCAGCCTCCTATCACACAGAGCATAACCAGGTGGACAGGGAATCCATCTGAGGGCAAAGGGGTAAGTGGCCCAGGGACTCTCCAGAATAGCTTTCTCTTATGAGTTCTCACCGACTCCTTAGAAAATGGTGGATCTAAGCATTCAGTAGACAATGGATGAAGAGAAATGCACTGCTTGAGATTGAGAGCCGAGTTTAGGCAAGATCTTAATAGCTGAGATTTTTCACTCTCTTTCTTAATTGTTTAGAAATATCACACTTCACACAAAGCTGTTAGATGTTCCCTGTTAGTAAAGATTAAAAGCCTCCAAAGCTTCAATTTAGTACCCGTTTCTCTATACATACCAAATGAAGGAGCATCGATTTGAAAAACAGAGAAATTATAGTATCTCCACACACAATTAACACCCAAGTATCTCTTGGCCAGGTCCTAAGGGAACGAAGGGGGAGAAAAAGTTAACTCATTAATATTTTGGCCAAGTGACTGATTTTGCCTCCATAAAACCCAATTCATTATCCTTAACCTCAGAGCTTCTAGTCTGAGAATACATTTACTTACTGGCCTCTCCTCACAGATGTGTGCTAAATTTGTCTGTGACACTTCAATTCCAGTTTCTGCTGCTAAAACATAATACAGCAAAGCTTCGTGCCTAAAAATAGATGATTAATAATAAATTTCATATAGTGGCTCTTACTAATATTCACAGAGAGCTTTATATTCACACATAAGAGGGCAAAAAATAAGCAGTTTTTTAAAAGCACAAAATCATGAGTTTTTTTTTTTTAATAAATACTGTTGTTAAAAATACTGCATGCGCTGATTTATTTTCTATCTTAAAAGGCTGAACTCACAGATAAGGTTGGGGAGCGGGTTGATACAACAGCGACATCTACTGGCCGAACAACTCGTTGCGTGTTGCCTGGGGAGCTGCCTATCAGCTTTGGGTCCTTGAAATCCTTCCATCCTCCATCCTCCATCCTCGCTTAGAGGAGATAAGTGGTATTAAGAAAAAGCCCTGTGCTTTCGAGTCCTGTTTTGTGAAGGGCTTTATGAGGCTTAGGACTCTGAACAAGCTTAATTAAAGCTGAGCTTTTGTGGTACATCAGAAGTTTGGCCAAGGAGAGGCAGTTTACAAGGGGCTTGATACCAATGGTCAAAAACATATTAAAAAAAAAAAAGTATTCAAGACCACTGGTAATTGAATAATTGCAAAACAATGAGACCACTTGTCATCTGTTGAAAGATTGGCACCCGATTCATAATCCGGATAACAGCAAGAGCTTGGGGGAAATGGACATATTTCTCTAACTACTGCTAGTGGGAAGCCAATTAATGCAATTGTTAAATGTGAGAGCCTTACAAATGTACATACCACCTGGCCCAACAGTTCTGCCTCATGAAGGTTTATTCCAAGAACTATGTGCAAAATAGACAGCCAACGGTAATTTGCTGTGTGGCTCAGGAAACTCAAACAGGGGCTCTGTATCAACCTAGAGGCGTGGGATGGGGAGGGAGCTGGGAGGGAGCTTCAAAAGGGAGGAGATGTATGTATACCTATGGCTGATTCATGTTGAAGTTTCACAGAAAACAGCAAAATTCTGTAAAGCAATTGTGCTTCAATAAAAAATAAATTAATTTTAAAAAAGAAAAATAATAAATTAAAAAAATCAGAAACATATGCAAAGACTCTGACAATAGAGCTCACGTCAGATCTGTGTATATGAATGATGACAACATCAAAAACCCCACAAATATCTGAAAATCAGTGACTAGTTAAGTTAACCCATGGTGCAGCCACTTTCAGAAGAGATCATTAAAGTGATGTTGAAGAAGAGCATTTGAAATAGTAGAAAGGTGTCTATGCCAAATTTTCCATTGCGTGAGAAAAGCAGGATAAAAAACAGTGCAATCTCATTTTTGCAAAACAAATATAAAACTGAGTACACACATGGACATACATATGCAGAGAAAAAACAACTACTTAAAATGACCTACCAAAACGCTAACAGTACTTATCTCTAGGTGCTGAGACTGCAAGTGACTTTTTTTTTAACTTATCTGATTTCCTCCATTTTCTTTTGTGTTGCCCTTTTCATAAGTTAAAATTTTAACTATACCTGGTTGTTTCTAAAGCTTATTTTTCATTTTCAGTGGCTGACATTAAGAACTCTTCGTTAACTTTAGCTCCATCTCAGAACTGTTTAAGAAAGGGCGGGGAGAGGGGCTGGAGGCAGAGTCATTTTTTTATTTCGTTGGCTACACCTCCTGGCATGCAGGATCTTAGTTCCCCAACCTGGGATCCAACCTGTGCCTCCTGCAGTGGAAGTGGAAGTGTTAATCACTGGACCCCCGAGAAAGTCCCAGGAGGTCATCTTTTCTACGTGGCTAAAGCAGCTCCTGGCAGGCCTTCCCATGGGGACAGACAGAGATGATTGGGGGTTCAAATTAGGACAGGCAGACTTTCAATCAGACATCCCAGGTCATGGCTGCTGAGTGTGCTGATTTCTGGCCTCCGAGATACCCAAGGCAGCTGACCAATTAGGCATGACTCATGCTCAAGAGATAAGGCTGGCTAAGCAGCCACGTAAGGAGTGTAGACAAGCCACGTAACAAGCCCACAACTGCGACTGCAGCAACACAAAAAGCCCCAGGCGTTTTCTTACATAGCCTTGAATCATGTTTGGTGACAAGAATCCTCAGAGCAGGCCCTAGATGGGGGACCCTCGAGGAAGGTTCAGCAGCAAGTCCCATCCTACGATAAGGTCCCATCCCGAAGGTCTTATCATCTCCAACACTCAGGTTTGCACCAGTGCCTCAGTTTCCCCCAGGGATGGATGAGGGAAATAGATGGAGTAGGGTTGCCAGCCCAAGGTCAGACGTCATGTGGGCTCCTTGCCTTCATGGAAGAGGGCTCATATTACTACAATGTAAGAAAATGAGTTTTTCTCAGACAGTAGTTGGGCAGATTGTTAGCAGTTGGGAGCAGGGTACACAGGTTGACATTTCCTGTAAAAACAAAGTCACTATGATAAATTTTATAAAGACAATACCTTGTCTCTAAAGTTACTTGGGTGGTGGGAGAGGGAAGAGAGGAACACATTTTATAGGAAGACTTCCACTGACTGGGACTTTCCACGTGACTCAGTGGTAAAGAATCCGCCTGCCAATGCAGGAGATGCAGGTTTGGTCCCTGGGTCTGGAAGATCCCCTGGAGAAGGAAATGGCAACCCACTCCAGTATTCTTGCCTAAGAAATCCCATGGACAGAGGAGCCTGGTGAGCTACAATCCACGGGGTTGCAAAGAGTCAGACGTGACTTTATCAACTAAACAACAACAACAATTTTCCACTGACCAATTATCGTGTCAGTAGATGCCAGGAGGAAATTTCACAGAATTCTCAAGCGTATACTTCGAGGAAGCACTGAAACCATCAAAAATAAGGCTAAAAACTTTGACTTCCTGCAGATCCAGTGGTTAAGACTCTGCGTTTCCACTGTAGGGGCGCAGATTCAGTCTCTGGTCAGGGAACCAAGATCCCACATGCCCAGTGGCATGAAAAAAAAAAAAGTAAAAGTACTGACAGAAATCCACCTGTCTTCCATTTTACAGAAGCCATGGAATCCAAAACCACCACCATCCATTTTCACATATTGAAGAGTGAACTCTAGGCAAGTGTCAGAACACTGAAGACCAGATTTTCTCAACTTGTGACGACTTCAGAGTCAGGACACCTCTGCAGAAACCCTATCTACATTCAGCCTCCCAGGACTTTGCTCTTACTTGTGCCTCAACTGAGATTGCCTGAAAGTGTTAATTATACAGATATTTCTGTCCTTCCATTCACAGAATAAACATTTACTCAGTATTTTCTCTGTGTAGGGGGCCCAGAGACAAGCCGGAAATCTGTACTATCCTTCCATGAACTTCCTCAAGCTTTAGGAAGCTGTCCAGGGTGTCCAACCTTATTTCCAATGTGGTAAAGTGAACGAGTCACCCAGGCAGTCATTCTGATGGAGATTGGGGTGGGGGTGCAGAGAGAAGCAGATCAAAGAGCGAGTGTAGGGGCACATTTGCTACCCTCCCACTTCAGACACAGCACATCCATTTATAGAACTTTTATAATGATACATCTTAATAATCAATCCTTTGGCTGCTTGCTGTGAACTGTGAATTTGAGTTTCTCTGAGCAGTTTCTCAAACAATCCAATTATTTTCTCTGGATTCTTTTCTGCCAATGCCTGAAGCAGTCCAAACTGGAAGTATATATATATATATATATATATATATATATGAAAAAAAAAAATCCTGGGGTCTCAGCAGAATTTAGGACCCTGCTCCAAGGCAAAAAGACGCATCTCTTTCAACAGGAATCTTGCATGCCTTCTTGTCTTGCCTCAAGCTTACTAGAATCTGGCTAACCTCCTGGGTTAAGTGTTGGGGGGTATAGTTAAGACAAAGGACAATAAAACACATAGCTCACAGATAAAACACACAGCAGGGTCTGCGGGAAAGAAATGAAACACGACAGGTGAGCTCTCCTTAGCTGACTTCTCCTGGTGTCCAAGGATAGCCTCGGGCATGACAGCATTATCTTCCGTATTTTGCCTAAGCAGCAAAATGCCCTTTTCTCAATCATGCTCCGCTTTTAAACTATCCCATATAAATCTCAGAACAACACAGAAAAGCACAAGCTCATCAAACTGACACATGTGATTTGAAAATAATGCCCAGAATAAATGCACTCACAAAAAAATGAAAAAAGAGGTGAACTTGGGACATTGATGGATGATTTAGTTCTATTACAGCAAAATAGATGGGACCCCCAAAAATGCCATGTTGTGGTGTGAGGAGGCCAATGGTCATACATTTCCTGTTTAACCCCTGAGGCATTTGGAAGCTCAGAGAGAAGGAAAAGAGAAAAGCTCTTTGTCTCAAATATACTTTGACAAAGATACTTCCACTGTAATGGGTATTAGGTTTTTCTTCCTGTTAGTAGGAAAAGGTCTCAAGTCCAGATGAAGTCATATTTTTAATAATACTTAGCATCAGCATCAGAACTGACAAAGATATGAAGAAACAGAAATTTATATGGGGTTGACAGGAGTGTAAATGGGTAAAATATTTTGGAAAACAGTTGACGTTGTCTTGTAAAGTTGAACACATGGCTAGCCTGTGACCTTATTCCGAAGCGTGTATTTTTAGATAAATTCTTCCTACATGTACTAGGATATACATAAAAATGTGCATGGCTACATTGTTCTTAAGGGAAAGAATCCAAATATGTGTTAATATGAGAACTGGTAAGTAAATTGCAGTGTATGACAGCAGTGAAAATAAATGACCTACATGTATCCAAAGATATGCATCCCAGAAATATCAGGTTAAATAAGCATGATGTTTATTTATGAAGAATTACATATGATATGACTCTAATGATATGAAGCTCAGAAACAAGTCAGATCTATTGCTCAGGATTATATCCATATATAGCAAAACTATAAAGCAAGCAAGGGGCAAAGGGACAAAAGACTCACAAAATGGTTAGTTCTAGATCCTGGGACTGGGGTGGGTTTCATCTGGGAAGAACATGCAGGGGGTTTCGATGGTCTATTTTCTTAAACAGGATGGTAGGGTTACAGGTGTTCATTTTATTGTTATGCTTCAGAACTTGGACTTCCCCTGTGGCTCATCCGGTAAAGAATCTGCCTGCAATGTGGGAGACCTGGGTTTGATCCCCGTGTTGGGAAGATCCCCTGGAGAAGGAAAAGGCTACCCACCCTAGTATTCTGGCCTAGGGAATTCCATGGACCGTATAGACCATGGGGTAGCAAAGAGTCGGACACGACTGAGTGACTTTCACTTTGGAACTTACATACATATTACATATTATTGGTATGCAACAATTATTGAGTGATAAAAGAAGTGGAAACAACTTACCTGGCTCAGGCCGCAGCTCCAGCTCAAAAGCTCAGCTCCTTTAACCTGGATTCTGAACTAACTCCCCCATTCAGTCTCCCTTCTCTTCACCACATTTGCAGCTGTTTGTTTAAGCATCTCAGAACCCACCTCTGTCACATCACTACCCTCTCCCCAAACCCTTGTTGGCTCCCCACTACTGGACAAACCAAATAAAAACTATATAACTGCTATTCAAAATCCCATAACACAGCACCTCTTTGGTCTTGTCATATACCACTTCCTTTTACGAATTTTACCCTCAAGGCAAACTGGGTGGCTTAAAAATTTCTAGCCACATTCAGAATTCTCCTGTTTCTTTGCTTTCTGTGATCCTGTTCATTACTGTGAAAGTGTTAGTCGCTCAGTCATGTCCAACTCTTTGCGACCCCAAGGACTGTAATCCACCAGGCTCCTCTGTCCACAGAAATCTCCAGGCAATACTGGAGTGGGTTGCCATTCCCCTCCCCAGGGGATCTTCCCACCCAGGAATCGAATCCAGGTCTCCTGCATTGCGGGCAGATTCATTACCCTCTGAGCCACCGGGGAAGCCCATAGAAGTACTATGACTAAGTGGAAATTCCACCCGTCCCTCGAGGCCATATGGTGTTACTTCCTTTATAAAGGCTGAACTAAGTCCCCAACCAGGCTGCATCTTTTCTTCCTCCGAATCCCTGATGCTCTTCAAATACTGCTCATGGCTCTTGAGTGATGGTTGTTCTGTCTATTTGTCTTAAATCATTCTCTCAGTAGTTATTGAGTACTTCCTAGAAGCCATTAGGCGCTAGGCACTGGGATACACATCACAGGGCAGTCAACAAGTAAAGAGCCATGATGACCCATGCGAGGACAAAGGGACTAAGGGGTTAGGCAGGACCTCTGGGCAGAGGGAACAGCAAGTGCAAAGGCCCAGGGGTCAGAGAGAATATGGGCCACCCGAGAAACTGCAGGCAGTTTAGCACCAGGAAGAGATGAGGCAGTGAACTAACTGCCCCAAGTCTTACCTGTGACATCCCCTGCAGCTATGGCACCCTGCATTTAAATGTACTCAGGAAAATCTGCTGAACTGAACCCAAACTCACTAACCGTGGAGAGCACACTTAATCCACCGCCCTCCCCCCACTGCCCCCAAATCAATCATGTAATGCGGCTGAATAGTCTAAGAAGGAAAGCAGGCCACTACAGCTTAATCCCTCTTGACCTTCACAGAAAATTTTTAAATGTGCTCCCTGAAGTGCTTTGTGATGTTAAATTCAAAAGTCGGCAAGAAAGCTAAGCAGATACCCTCTTTATGGGAAAAAGTGTGAGACATCTTGGGGGGTGTGTGTGTGTGTGTGTGTGTGTGTGTGTGTCCTAGGGGTGCTTACATATGTGCTCTTGCTTTGGGAAAACCCCGCATAGAAACATTTTGATGTTTGAATGCTTAGTTTCCCGAAGAAGTTGTCAGGAGCAAAGGATGGGAAATGTGGAGGGTGAGAAGCAGAAATGAGCTAAGGTCAAACTGGAAAGTTCTAGAAATTGAAGTTTACTTGGGAAAAAAGATAAACAGCACACAAATAGTAAGGTGTATCAATTGGGAAAAGATCATTTCATTAAAAAAATTTCTTTCTCATTATGCAAAGTGAAGCCACAGATGATAAACTTTTACAAGATGATACTAATACACAGTTTTATTCAGTGGTTTTTTTCACGTGGCCCATTTTGCCTGCATTTTCTTTCTTTTTTTTTTTTTAAACATGTAATTATTTATTTGGCTGCACCAGATCTTAGTTGCAGCATGTGGGATCTAGTTCCCTGACTAGGGATTGAACCGGGGATCCCCTGCTTTGGGAGCACAGAGTCTTAGCCACTGGGCCACCAGGGAAGTCCCTGCCTGCATTTTCTAATTTGAGATTCTCATTCACTGAGATGCTATCTGTGGATTACCTGGGCACCCATGAACCAAAGAAGGAAAAGGCCTTCTTTGGGACTTATATTTTAATTTTTAATTAAAGTTCAGATCAGAGCACAATCAGTGATAGGGCTGCTCTAATGTCTTTGAGGTGGTGGACCAATAGGATGTGTGCTGATTGGCATTTGCCTTTTAGTTATTAAGGAAATATCCAGATCATTTAGGCAATAAACAAGCACACAAATGGAGCCCAGAGAAAAGTAAGATGGACCATGAGGCCTGAAAACAGGGAACAGAGAGACGGACTCAGGTAGATCTTGGAGAGGAGTGCCCTTATATTTGTAAAATCAAGTAACTGGAAATGGGGTCCTCATGTGTGCAGTTTCACCCCATTTCTTCATACAGGGTGAGATTTGCTAACTCCATCAGAAGACCCTGAGAGAGGCGGAGTCTATTTGGCTGTGACACTTGAGGTCTGCTGAGTGATTTCCAGCAATCCTAGGGAAAACATAGCCTAAGCCCTAAACACACTGCTTTCACTCCTTCCCACGAACAAGACAGAAATCCTGGACTTCCTGTGACGTGCCAGTGAGAGGCAGAGGGTCAGCAGGGATCGCCTATGCTGTCTCCAGACTCTGAAACCAAGTAGAACGAGCCGAAGGGAAGAAAAGTCAACGCATTCATGTGTCTCTCAACTTGATGAATGTGGAAGCTCCCTCTAGAGAACTAATTTTTGCATATAATTAAACATGGAAATGCTATGTTTTCTAATCAACAGCCAATCAGTCGGTGATACTCTGAATATCATTACCAGGAGGCTGTGATTTCCCTGCAAACTGCTTTTTCAGTTGCATTTTAAGACTCCATCTCCTAAGAATACACTGACAGATTGAAAGGTGAGGACTGAGAAAGTTCAGGCGAACTTACCATGAGCCCTCCAGGTAGGCATTGAGGCCTTTGCGAATGACATGACCCAAGTAGCCATTTTTCTCAGCTATGTGCTTTGCCCATCTATAAGGGAAACAGAGGAGAAAATATCCAAACTGTGGCAAATTAAATAATTTCTTTTTACTTCATGTGATTTCAATAAATCTCACTTGGGGAATATTTTGCTTGTTAGAATTGTTATGGAGCCACAAGTTGGAACTGAATGTTAAGAAGGGAAAGAGATATACATTGGGAGCACTTGAGTTCAGTGCCCTTTATAATGAATGCTTAACAGTTGTCATCTTTTGAAACAAAGATGTGAAAAGTGCTTAATGAAAAGAGTCTACCCGTATGGAAAAAGATAATGTTAATCAGGAATTCTAACAAGTCAATCGTAGGAAGACAGCTCTCCGTGAACAAAGAGAAGAGATGTTGCCAAGAAGATTAAATGAACAGAGTTACCTGATAGGTGTAGACATACTGAGAGGAGATTTAGACAACACAAGGAGAATGTGAATATCAAGTACATAGGAGATGGTAAGTACACAGAGATAAGCAAATAAATAATCATCATTAGTAGTATTCCATAGAAAACAAAAAGTTATGCAAGAAAGAGGAGTCACACCACACTACATGGTCAGCTACGAATAGCATTAAATGGTAAAAATATTGGGTTGGCCAAAAGAACTTTTTTGGCAAATCCAATGATATGAACCCTGATACCAATCCAAGCAAAATGATGATGTACTCATGGGGAAGATGGGAGAAGCTAGGAAGTGTGACCAGGCAGGGCAGTTAGAAGTGGCAGAGTGAAAGAACTATATATAAATTTATCTTTTCCCAGTGACACATCATTCGACAAAGTCTGTAGTGAGTATAATAAGAAATAGTGGTTTAAGCATGTTATTTAGACATAGAGGCAAATAAAAAGAGAAATAATTATTAATAAAACAGGAAAAGTGACTTATTCTAGGCAGCAGGAAATGGTATGTGGGAGGGGGATAGAGACTTCCTATTTTTCTTGTCAAATTATTATTCTTTTTAAATTTCTGCCTCCTCAAATAATTTGACTCTTTTTGTGCATATGTAACTGATAAAAATTACATTTTAAAAATGAAAAAAAAAAGAAAAAAGAACTCTATTTTCTCAGACGTGGTGAACACAGTATACGGCTTTCCCTTGACAAGCAGCATCTGATAAGTTCTTACACAACAGCCTTCTCGGGATCTCGAGGGAACGTCTCCAGGTTGCCCGTGACATAGTACAGAGAACACCACAAAGTTCCTTCCATGTGTCCACCTTGTGCAGCCTTATGGAAATATTCACCGGCTAATGTCTGGAAAGAGACGAGCAAACGTCGGTGTCATTAGTGAGACGTCCTCCTGGGCAGGCTTCATCAGAGCTAAGGTCGTGGGGTTCATAACACGTGATTTCATCATAGGCTTATAACATCTGATATCTTTAAGAAACCAAGTCAAGTTCCAGGAAGACAATCACAGAAGCTTCTCGACAGGATAACCTTGACTGCAGCTATTCTGTTAAGTTTACCCAATAAATAAGATAACATTAGGAATGCCATTATCACCAGGTATCCTCACATAAACCCCCTGCCAGCCAGACAGAAGACCGAAGCAGAGGTCACACCTGGTGAAACTTCAGGCATTTGCTTTCCTAACCTCACTTAATACCTTTTTTCAAACTCAGATGCAAAAACTGCAGTTCTAGTAGGAAAGTGAAAATTAGAATACAACAATGAAAAAATCCATTCTAGCAGATGTGTGGGAGGGCTAACACATTTGCAATGCATAAAAATACACAGCCTCCTGTGTAGTCAAAGAGAGGTAGAGGGAAAAGTGAAAACAAATGCTTAAATAGGTAGATGCGTCACTGATTATCATTATTTTTCCCCAGGCAGTTAACTGCCATTTTTAAGCGAAGGCTTTGGAGTCGATGATGCCACGAGATGGTTGGATGGCATCACCAACTCGATGGAATGAGTTTGAGTAAGTTCCAGGAGTTGGTGATGGACAGGGAAGCCCGGTGTGTTGCAGTCCATGGGGTCGCAAAGAGTCGGACACGACTGAGCGACTGAACTGAACTGAACTTGGAGTCAAACAGGCCTGGGTTCAAATCCCAGCTCTGCTCCTTACTAACTGCGTGACTATGAGCATGTCAGTTAAACTTTCCAACTAAGTTTCTACATGTCAGTTTCTACAGAGGAAACATGTGGCTTCTGATAGTAGCTATCATGAAAATTTATCATGAAGATTAAATAAGATAATGGATATTTGAGGCTTGGTATGATGTTTTACCAAAAATAATTCTCTCATTTCCCAACCCCAAATCTGCTGCTACGGCTTGCCCATCTGTCTGAATACTACCTTTCTTCCCATCTCAATAAATGCCAAACCCTCTGGAGTCAGCCTGACTCCTCTCCCCGCTTCACACCTCACATCCAATCACCATCAAATTCTGTCCTCTTGACTTTCAAAACAGATCCAGAATCTACTCACATCTCAGCCCTCTTTCTGATACTGCCCATCCATTCTCATTTGGATTCAATGCATTAATCCCCTGTTTCTTCTTTCCTAAACTCTTAATGTTGTATTGGAGGATAGCCGATTAACTATGTTGTGATAGTCTCAGGTGGACGGCAAAGGGATTCAGCCGCACACATGCATGTTTCCATTCTCCTCCCAACTCCCCTCCCATCCGGGCCACGTAACAACATGGAGTACAGAGTTCCGTGTGTTCTGCGGTAGGTCCTTGTTGCATCAAGCCCCTGCTCTTGCTCTTCTCTTCCTCAAGCCCATCTCCATCCGGACCCTGGAGGAGCCTTTTCCAACACAGCATATCCCTGCCCTGTTCAGAGCTGTCCCATCTTGCTCAGAGCAGCTTCCTGGGCACCTGCCTCCTTGACCTTATCTCTTCTGCCACCTCTTTTGCTCTCAGCTCCCGCCAGTTTCATCTCCCTGTTGTTCTTCTGCTGATCCCTCTTTCTGGAATGTTCTTCCCTCTTTCTGGAATGTTCTCCCAGATATTCTCAAGACTCCTTTAGGAGTCTGTACAAGGTCACATTATCAGAAAGACCTTCTCTGATCTCGCTTATAAAATAGCATCCCCTAGTCTCTACCTTCTGGGTCCTCCTCATCTGGCTTTATTTCTCCCCATATCACTTCACTTTCCCTCATGCTCTATCTTTGCTCATCATCTTTCTGTCCCACTGGAATATAAGCTTCCCCAAAGCAGAGACTGTTCTGTCTGCTGCTGTATCCACCATTGCCCGGAAGAGTTCCTGGCAGAAGGTGGGTGTTCAGTTAATTCGTTGACTGTAATGGTGTTCAGATTGTTATTACCACCATTAACATTATTATCAATAACAAGGGGCTTCCATTTCGCACGGGAACCAGGTCCTGACTCCACTTAAGTGTCTGACGTCTGAGCAAGTTATGAAACCTTTCAGAGCCTTGGTCGCTTATTCTGTTAAATGGATGTAGTAACATTTGCATTCCAAGAGTATAGTTAGGATGACATGGGATGGCACATAGAAAGTATCTAAGAGTATATGGCCCAGAGGAAGTGTTCAGCAAACACTGAAGACTGTCATTACTATTTACATTACTATTATTAAATCCAATCTCATACCTAGCAATCCTTTTTGGACACAGCCCTCTTTGCTTCCAGTAAGATCAGCGATCAATCTCTGTACCATCTCTCTTATTCTCGTCTCGCCTCATCTCCCATTCCTCTCCCCGGCGCAAGCCTCCTCCTCCATGAAGCCTTCCTGACTGCTTTGGCTTTCCCCATTGCCCCTTTCCAGAACTGCTTGGGTCACAGCGATTAGAACACACTTGGCCTTTGGCTAGTGCCGGTTTTCGCTCTTCACTCTCTTGTCTTCTTAACTGGGCCCTTGGGTTCCTTGAGCTCATGACCTGTATCTCGGGTGGTGTCTGTACCGGGCTGGGCCCACAGTAAACCTGCTTCTTGACCAGGTGTCTGACCAGCTGCATAGCTGGTCACAAGGCTTACCTGATTCCTTCCAGGAGCTCCTGGGAAAATGCCATCCAAGTACAGGACTCCAAGATTGTATGAGGCATCTGGGTTCCCCATTTCTTCCGCTTTTAACCAGTACTTAGCCGCTTTGGCATAATTTTTCTTGAATTTGTGGTAATACCATCCCAGGCCGTTGACTGCCTGATGCAACCCCTGGATTTCAGAACAACAAGAAAGAAATGACTTTTTTTTTAAATGAAAATTTCTCTAAAGAGAATCAGTTGTTGTGAAAGCATTCTGCCAAAGTCTGAGAAAAACCTTTCCTGTCTCTTTTTGGGGCCAGATGGCATTAAAGAAATGCTAAGTGCTAGAAAACGTGAGGCCACCTCAAAGTCTTCCCAGGAGGACCTCACCAGCCTGCTGTCGGGATTTCTGCCTTCCACCTTGGCCATAATGCTGGCCTCGAATCATCACTCAGCCCCCGTGGACTGTTTAGCAATGCCCTTGTCTACAGAAGGCCTTGTGTTGCCCTGAGTATCAGCAACGCCCTTGAAATTCACATGCACTCAACTGAGACAGGAGGCCGGAACCTGCCCTGGCTGGGCTGATTTCTAGGTGACCTGCCAGCCGTCTGTTGATTACTCTGCACTGGATACCAACATATCATCTGAGCAAAGAAGCCGCAATGGTCTACGGGTAAAGCTCAGGGGCTATGGGTCTGCTTAGCAGACAGGTGGAGTGTGGTTGGGCCTGGGGCAGAGGGGAGGGGGTGGAGAAGGGAGGTGGCTTCAGAGCTGTGTCTATACCTGGGATTGGACCACAGAAGGGCTGGTTCTTATGAGTCTAGGGTCAAGTCTCCTTGTTCTTGCTGATTCATGCTCTCAGGGGCCCACTTCCGCCCTCTCCAGGTGCTCCCACCTGCTTCTATACAGTAGCCTCCAGCCTGGCTGTCGAAGGCTTAGGAACCCTGCGGGGGTGTGAGTGTGCAAACCTGGACATTCGGGTCTCTCATTCCTGCTCTCCTGCCAGATCAACAAGACCATGGACAAGCAGGTGAAAAAAGGATTAGAGAGGCAAAGGGTGAGTGCCCTTGCATCTGTGAAACAGGTTAAGAGTCCAAGTGTGGAACAAAATCTCTTTCCCCTCCCCTTTTGAGAAGTGAAGAACAGGTGTCTCTCAACTACGGATGCCAAGATCCCAGCCTGCAGCCTTTTCATCTGTGAGGGCTCCTGAAACCCTTTTAGTTTTTACATTGGACTCCAGGTGCCAGGAAGACCAGGAGAAAGAAACTGCCAAAGCCCATTGGAATAGATGCTCTATGAAGGCAAGGATCTTTATTTTGTATTCCAAGCACCTGTGTTAGTACTTGCATACAGTAAGTGCTCAATAAATACTTGAGAAATGAACCAAGGGATCAGAGCCATCCCTTGAATGCCAATGACACCCAAAACAGAATCCAAATCCTACATGGAGAGTAGTGCTCAGATCCACAGGCCCTCAAGATAGCTGACACTTGGCACAGTATCAGTGCTGTGGATCAGTCATAGAAACATTCTTCCTGAGCCTTGGGTGGTACCAGATGCAAGGCAGCCTCCTGAGAAGTTGCAGGATGAATGTATTTCCATGAAGTGACAGACCACGCCATATTATAAAGTGGCAAGAACCCGCTTTGGAATAAGCCTATGGAATTTACATCAAAATGGTTTCTGTACTGCTCACGTCCATATGCATAGGCTTATTCAAAGGTACCTGTCATCACTCAAAACATTAGCAGAACTTTCTTTAGAAATTGTATTGGGACCCAGGTCGGGAGCCCCACAAGAAATCTTGTTTTATTTCTTCATGCTCACACCTTATTCTGGACATTTCCAGCTGTATCTGCAGATTTACCTTCAAGTGACTTTTAGCTAATTCCAGACATCAAACTCTGTGCTTCACCATAGTGCCTGACAAAGAGTAAGGGCTTAATAACTCCCTGCCAAATGAATGAGTGAGAATCATGTAACACTCTTAAGAATGCGAGTACTCCAGGCTATAAAACTGCATTTCCTCTAATATTCATCTCAGCTCTGCTAAAAGCACGCTCGGAATAAAGCACCTTAGACGACAATTCACCACTAGCATGCTAAAGAGATGCAAATTTCACACCTGCCAGGAAGCCCCACTTTAGGCTGCTCTAGAACTATGCCCTCAATGACCAACATTAAGCAGCTTTTCTATTTCTGCACTATAGTTGGGAGCTGGCATGTGTTTCAGCCCATTCTGTCTCCTGGGTGACGTGCCCTCTTGAGACCACACAGGTGGAGAAAAAGCCTCTTGACTCTGACTACCTGCTCCAACTTCCTAGTCTACCCGAAAAACAGACTATCTAAGCTTCCTAAAAAAAGCATGAGAGGAAGGAAAATTGGCATGGTTACTTTAGGAATCTTTGTAGTTAGGGCAAATATTAGCAGCCTTGGGATGTAGGTACATTCAAGAGCCTGAAGGGCTATAAAGGACTCTGTCTAGGTTGTAGAGTTACAGTGGTTTCTACCAATCCATTTATTTACAAGTATGTATGCATGCATATGTGAGTGTGCACATGAGTGTGCATGCATTGCGGAGGTGTGTTTGCACATAGGGATATGTTGTGCATCCCTGCTTGTGTGTATGTGTGTGGGTGTATCCCCTCACAAGCAATATTACAACCTCCATTCTGTACTGCAATACTGAAACTCGTTGGCTTGAAGGCTACTTTGAAGAGTAAATAGTGACAAAAAGAAAATAATTTCTAAACCCAGTAGTAAACTTGATAAACAGTCCTTTTATTAAAGCACAGAGAAGGAAATGAGCACTGGCATGACAGGGTTAACCCAGAGGATTCAAGATTCAGAGGAATCAGGCTTTTGGTTTCCCTAATTCATTGGCATTTATATCCATTCAGTTTCAAGGAGCCCCTGCTGCTGCTTGTTATTAGGGCAGCCCTTGATTATAATTTTAGCCTTCAAACATCGGTCTGAATTCTATTGACTGGAAAGTGAGTTCGCCTTTTGAAGTTTGCCATCCCCATTGTGCAGGTTTCTGTGTATGTGTTGTAGCTCAAAAATGACTAATCGCTGCAATGCTAGCGACCCCTCCCTCCCCACTGCATTTCTACCTTCCTCAGAAGGCTAGCCATTCATTCTCCTAGACTTTTGAACGCATGGGTGGGTGTGTGTAGGCAAAGGCTTCCCTCTGACAATATGCACAAGTGTTACCTTGGAAGCTGCTTTCTTCATCAGCTCTAAGGCAAGCCGTCTGTTCTTTTTCACTCCTTGACCCTAAACAACAAAATACAGCAATGATAAAAAAAAAAAAAAAAAAGAATGCATGCAAAACCATCACACTGATTTGCCAGTGTTCAACAGAAGATCCTTAAAGCCCAGGCCTTCCCAAAGAAAAACCTAATCTTGAAGATTTCCATATGCAGAGCTATTACATCATCATCATCATTTTGTGTATATTTGCAGAACAGTAACAACAAACCTCCCCCTTCCTGTTTAGCATCATACAAAATTCCCCACTTGATCATCAAGTGAATCACACTCTTATCAATCCACTGGTGCAGTTGGGAGAAGCCATGAACAAGGTTAAATGAGTTTGGTCATTCTGGTTGTGTTTTTCTGGAGATTACCTAACATGTGAGTCAGATAAAGCACTTGATCTGTGTCGGACAGTCAAGACTTATCAGGCTAGGACAACCCAGTTATCCCAGTTCCACGTGGGAGTCCCCATGATGGATCTCTGTGGCTTTAGAAACAGCTGGAAGGTCAGTGGTGAAAGAGATCGGATCCCTTAGAATCAGTTCCTTCAGACACTGACAACCGACAAGCTTCCTCCAGCAAAATCAAATTTTTCCAGCAGACGCGGTTTGTGGATCACGAGAGAAATAGCTTTGGGATTCTTGTCATAAGAGCAGAGCTTCATGGGACCACTCTGGGGTGTCTGCGGGACTGAGTGGGAAAACGGTGGGCCCAAGGGCGGGACAGGAGGAGTCGCTGAGGGCTCTCTTGACATGGCTCTGACCATGAAGATGGCAGGTGAGAGGAGCTGGATGAAAACCCTGATGCTTCCAAGCTCACTTAGAGCCTGTCTTTGACCCCCACGCCCCATGGAGTCCTCCTGGTCCCAGACTCAGCACTTGACAGGGTCACATGTGACATAATGTCAGAGGGCTTTGCAATGACTACAGCTATTAACTCTATTTAAATACTCAGCTCGAGTAATGAAGACAGCAGGAGCAAACATCCCTGCGTTAATTACCCTAGGCCAGGAGCTCTCCTGCCATATCTAATCCTTCCGACCCTAGCCATGGCGCTGCTATTATTCTCATCTGAGAAACCAACCCAGAAGCACACAGTGAATGCGGAACAGAGGCAGGATTTGAACCCAGGCTCCAGAGCTCAGGTTTATAACTGCCATGCTGTGTTTTCTCCTGTATATTGTCATTTCCATGCTGAGAAAGTAAAATGATTCACAGTCTCCTTACAGAATACAAAAACAACACGCTGCAGAATCTGTCCTTAGAGTTCCAGGACCCAAAGTAAAATGGTGGATCCAAATAAAGGTTAAATTACATACACTGAGTTTCTACTCGACTTTAACTTACCTATTTAATAAAAACCGATGAGCTGAAGCAGGATGCAAGATGAAACTATTTTTCAGAAGTGGACCATTACTTCATTTAATTAGAAGAGGAAAGAGAAAAGGACGTGAAGGCTATTTGCAGTAACTAGACAGGGCAATGAGACAACCTTTTTGTACTTTGCAGAAAGCATCAGAACAATCAGGATGACAGAATGTTAGAACCTGGATGCACTCAAAGTTTATCTTCTCCAGCTTTTTTTGTTTGGAAGGAATAAAACTGGGGCCCACAGGGGCTGACTAACCCAAAGCCTCTTAGTTAGATCTGCAAACAGAACTCAAGATACTCTCATTTCTAGACCAGGGATTTCCCAGTGTCATTACGTAATCAGAAGTGGGATGATTTCTTGCACAAAGACTATATACTCTGCACAAGTGTGAGTAGCACTGGAAGCTGTTAAAAGAAAAATACGAAGTCCTGATGCAGAGCAGATGCTCGGTGACTATTCACTGGATGAACTCACGGAGGACAGTTGCTGCAGTCAAAGTCCAAGCTCCATCCTCAGGTGGATATAAAATGGGATTGACTCGACCGTCTTGGAAACACTACAACCATCACTGTGGCACCATTTTTGAATACAGTAAGCCAAATATCCACACAAAACAATAAGCCACGTGCACACTGCCCTTCTTCCTGTTTGGAAGGTTCATTTTTTGCATGGCTTTTTTTTTTACACTGAAAATACTTAAAGACACCTTTGGCCAGAGGTAAAAATCTTTCTCAAGATGTTGATAATGGGTTTTCTTCCTCCCACTCAGAGATAACTTAGAATGTAGGAAAACCAAAAAAACTTCCAGTTGTCAGAAACCAGACCCTGAAGAAACATTTTGTCACCTCCCATGTCATATATTTATATCTTTGGCTCTCTAGATTTCAAGCTCCTGGTAGGCAGAAATAATGCCTGAGTCATGCCTTTATCTTCTCCGCACTCCAGGCAATGACCAGCCCCATCTCCGGTGGACTGGTGTCTCTCCTCTGTACCTGTCTCAGTCCTGTCTTCCCCAGAGGACTGTGTCTGAGGACCCAGAGGTCAGAAACGTGGCTCACGCATCCATATGTCCCTCCATCTAGTGCAGAGCCTGGCATTTTGTCAGCCCTGAATGGGCATGTATTACATAAATACACAAATACATTGGCATATGGCTAAGAGTCAAACCACTTCTATGTTGATTTAACAACTACAAAGAAAAAGTCTGGGCTCTAAACTTGGAAACTATAACAACCAATATGTTTTAAGGCTTGGAAGGCTAGAGCTGCAGCAAGAGCCATGGCTGTTAATCTGTGAGTGACCACAGCTGTGGTTCTGGGGATGAGCCCGGCCATGTGCATCCACGTCCTTGTTTGAAGATACTTGCTGTCTGTGGGCAGCTGCCTCCTTTGGGCCTGGACAAAGCCACCAAGGTTTTCCTTAGTAGAGCCAACAGCTTTCTATTTCTCCAAGGTGGGTGAATTGATGTCTCTGTGTTCAGCAGTGAAGAGCACAGACTTTGAAGCCAGACTGTCTGGATCCCAATCCCAGGTCTGAAATGTACCAGTTGTACAACCTTGTACGTGTACGTGCATGCTATGTTGCTTCAGTAGTGTCCAACTCTTTGCAACCCCACGGACTGTAGCCTGCCAGGCTCCTCTGTCTATGGGGCTCCTTAGGCAAGAATACTGGAGTGGGTTCCCATACCCTTCTCCAGGAGATCTTCCCAATCCAGGGATTGAACCTGTGTCCCTTAAATCTCCTGCATTGGCAGGCCGGTTCTTTACCACTAGCACCATCTGGGAAACCCTTGGGTAAGTTACAAATCCTTTCTTAGCTTCTCTTAGCACACACATAAACAGAGATCATCATATACCATGGTAGCTACCTTTGCAAGGTTGTCTTGAAGACTGAATGTACATCACGTAATAAGCACTGCATCAGTCGAAGTAAACTACTGTTACTCAGTAAAGCATTTTGCAGTTCTTGGAGTCCCTTCTTTAGGTTCTTTCACTCAACCTGTGGTCATTACCAGTGTCCCATGAGGTCAGATAAGCCCAAGGATGCAGCTGCCGCTTGCAGAGGAGGGATTTGAACTCCATCTTCTGTCTCCTGGGCTAATGGTCTTCTCACCCACTCCCCTGCTCTCCTGTTGGCTTAAAACCAAGATCTTTGTTTTGATCAGAGAGACTGTTGGGATCCAGCCAAACATGCACTTCATCTCAGCTGTAATTCAACAATAGCTCTGCCTAATAAGAGAACTTGCAGCACCTTTGGGGGCTGCCAGCCATGTACCAATCTGTAAAATAAGAGTGTCTCCTCCAGAATGCCACATGTTTGCAAAAGCCAAGAGAATCCAGGTGCCAAACCTAAGACTAATGATTAAAAACAAGACCAGAGAACTGCTTCTGACTCCGCCTTTTCAGCAAATACCCCTTTCCATCCAGCCTGACAGAAGCAGATTTCGAGGTTCTTGGGTTACAGGCTCCCTAGTTACCTGCACGCCTACACGAAACTGCTCAGGAAATCTGATAGGAATTTTGCAACCTCAGCACAAATTGAGTGATTCTTACCTTGAATAACACAATGGCGTAGTCGTATATTAATGCGGGGTCCTCAGTCTCCAGGGCACCCTTGGCATACCACTCGATAGCCGCTTCCGGGTTCTTGGCCACACCTTGCTGGCCCCAGAACAGCATCTGGGCCAACCGTTGCTTTAAGACAGTGGCAATTTAAAACAATGACTTTCCTGTGAAATGCTTAACATATGTGTGTGTGTGTGTGCGCACACGTGCGCGTGCCCGCGGTTAGTGGCTCAGTTGTGTCCAACTCTTCCCGACCCTATGGACTGTAGTCCACCAGGCTCCTCTGTCCATGGGATTCTCAGGCAAAAATACTGGAGTGGGTTGCCATGCCCTCCTCCAGGGAATCTTCCTGACCCAGGGATTGAACCTGTGTTTCCTGTATCACAGGAGGATTCTTTACCCATTGAGCCACCTGGGAAGCCCTAATATTTAACATACAAGACTTTAAAAGAGGGTAAGGCAAACCTAGTTTAAAATGTTTTTATATTGAGAACCAAGACTTAGGCAGACACATGCTATCTTTCTACTGGGGACCAGAGCCCTGAAGGTGTAATGGGTTAAATACAAGTTATTAACACAGTGATGTGTGTCAGGGGGATGTGGGTGTGTGTATGTGAATGAATGTACTATACCCACATCAGAGCTGATGGATCAACAACCATACTGTCTCCTCTCTTGAAACACCCTCTTCTTTGGGACTCACTGCCTGTCTTCTGGGCCCCGTGTAAGGCATGCATGCCTGTGCACATCTGTGGCAGTCAGGGCATCTCCCTATGAGGCAGGAGATAGATGGGCTCCAGGCTAGGCATTTACTACGGGCCTCCTGTTTGCATTTCCTGAGACAGGAGGTAGGTGGGCTGCTGGTTAGATATTTACAACCAGCCTGCTGTTTGCATATTGAAACAGAAATAACAACAGAAACAGGGTAAATAGCCAGGCTTTGTCTCCTGAGGACACCTTAAGATAACAGACAAGGCAGGAAGAGAGGGGCTAAACCCTGTTTGAGTAAAGGATCACGAGGTCATATATTTCCCATTCTTGGGGCAAGAGGGACACTGCACATGTGCAGAAAGCTTCTTGGGGATAAAAAGGAAGAAGCACCACCCCATAATACGTGATGCCAAGGCCACCCCACAGGCCTCAATAGAGCTTGGAAATAGTCACACACACAGGGGAGGGTCCTAGGGTAGGTCAAATATGAAAAAAGAAACCAGATGATGGGCCAAAGGTAAACAGAGACCCTGAAGAACTGCCCTGTATAAATGATTTATATCATTATACCTATATATCTGAGGCACTAGGATGTCTGATGGAGTTTGGGGACTGATCATAAATCCTGTGACTCTCTCTCCAAAGGGTGCAGGTCTGACTACACTCAATGTCAAGAGTGACCAACTGGGCTTCCCTGGTGGCTCAGTGGGAAAGAATCTGCCTGCCAATGCAGGAGACACAGGTTCGACCCCTGAGCCAGTAAGATCCCACCTGCCATGAAGTAACAAAGCCCCTGCACCATAACTATTGAAGCCCGTGTGCCCTAGAGCCCAAGGTCTGCAACAAGAGAAGCCACGGCAATAAGAAGCACGCACACCGCAACTAGAGAGTAGCCCTCACTCTCGGCAGCCAGAGAAAAGCCCAGGCAGCAACAAAGACCCAACAAAACCAGAAACAAATAAACAAATAATGATCAACTGACTTGCTCTGGCCGATGGAATGTGAGAAGTGCCCCATCTGAGCAGAAGCGTCAGGAGCCAGCTGCGATATGTCACAGGGTGGCCCTGAGGCAAAGGCTTTGGAAACACATTTTGGTGACGCCTCTGTTAGCTTGGGCTCCTAAAGAACTACGCGAGCACAGCCCCTGCCAGCACCCCCAGTAGTGTGAACATCAATACCCTGGTGCTGTGTTAAGTCACTAGGCTTGGGATATCTTGTTATCACAGCGTAACCTGGTCCATCAGGGCTGAGAAAGTTTCCGAGACAGTGGACCACATTGTTACCTGAGCTGCCGCATTGCCTCGAGTAGCTTCATGCTTCAGCCACATAAAGACATCTCCATCTTCTTTGGTTTGTACCTTGAGTATTTCATCATCTTTTAGTCTAATTGTTTCAACATATGCCTAAAAGGGAAGGAAGGAATATAAGAAGGGAGCGAGGGAGGAAGGGAGGAAGGGAGGAAGAAAGGAAGGGGAGAAGGGAGAATGAAAATATCCAAATAATTTGGGCATGCAAAAGACAGGCCATTATTCTTAATCCAGCAATTATTCCAGTAAAAACTCACAAGTAATGGAAATATGAGGTGTGTCCACAATGCCATAAGATCACATTTCTTTTTAAATGAATGGATCACATGCATTGCACCCAACTGGGCACTTTTGTTCCTATCAAAGCATTTGCCTTGGGAAGATGAAATTTACTCCGCTTTCTCTTCCTTTGCTCAAGCTAGTTCAGAAGTCCATCTCTGTGCCATCAGTTTTAGGGCCAGATTACACAAGGCATCAAAAAAGGTAAATCAATAAATTCTAAGCATAACCTTATTATTATGTTTTACTATCATCCTGCATGACTAACCCTTTTTATTTAGCAGGCTCAGCCTCCAATATCTTTTGGCTATTTCCAAAAATGAAATCTGCTCTGAAAAGAAAAGGGCATATTAACTCTGAGTACATGCGCAAGGATGCACCAGACGTTCGAAGGAGGAACCCAAGGGGAAAGTTCACAAAATGCTTTCAATTTGCAAACAGCCTCCCAGGTATCTGCCTCCTTTGAAGAAAAGAAGGCTCATTTTTATGTATAAATTTTGGCTCTTTATCCAAAAAAACAGTCTTGTTGTTTCACAGTTTCCCCTTATATTTAATATATGATGAACTCTATCTAGTGCCAGAGGGCCTGGGAAGGGCTTCAAGGCCACAAGCAGATGGTGAAAGAATTGGTTCTGGATGAGGCTGGGAGAAAGAAGCTTTAGAGAACAAGGAGCTCGGCCTGATTTCCCTTCTGATCCTCTGTCAGTGAAGGGAAGGACTTAGACATGTACACACGGCTGTATTTAAAATGGATAACCAACAAGGTCCTACTGTACGGCACAGAGAACTCTGCTCAATGTTACGTGGCAGCCTGGATGGGAGAGGAGTTTGGAGGGGAACGGGTACATGTACACTTATGGCTGAGTCCCTTTGCTCTTCACCTGAAACTATCACAACATTGTTAATCAACTATACTCCAATACAAAATTAAAAAGAGAGAGAGAGAGAAGGACTCAGATTCACAAGCTCTAGCCTGCAGCCCCATCCTCCACTGTGGCCACATGCAACCAGAGGTCCCTCTCAGGGGCAGTGGAGGGCAGACTTGGGGATGGAGCTAGGACTCAGAACACAACAGGTATCAGTTCCTGTTGGATGTCTAACCTTGACACACCACCCAGCAAATAGCAACACCTGGAATAATGATGCCACCACCTTTGATTGAAACCATGTACAGGGTGTTTAACAAACATTGTTTTCACTGAATCCGCATGGCAGGACTGAGACCCAAATATCACTGTCCTCAATTTATAGGCAAAGAACTGAGGCTCACAGGGTGAAACCGTGAACCCAAGGTCACATTGTAGATCGGGTCTTGGAAGCCAGGTTGACCTGTCTCCAAAGAGAGGTTCTGACAGGCTCCCCGACAATGTCGCCCTCTAGCGGGAAGGCTCTGGAATCCTGTCTGGGCACTGGTCTCTATCTCATCCTTTGCTAACTGCAAGGCCAATAAGTAGGCGCTTCAGCTCAAACTCCAGGGGATACTCTGTCATCTGCGATGAGCCTGGAATTGGGCAGAAGCTCAGGCTGCTCAAATAAGAGAATTCTCAGCTATAAGGTTTTTTTGGTCAACTAGGGAGTTGGGTATTTGATTTGGGATTCGTTTTCTTCTTTTTCTTATTTTGCTTTTTCCTTCTTAACTTTGTCATAGTACTGGAATGAAAGACATAGCCCAGGAAGACAGAGTTTCTATGCTGCAAGAATTTATACTCTTAGGTGTTTCTGCCACTCTCTGGCAGTGATAACACACCATAATCACCAACAAGGACTGTGTGTGGGGACCGATTGTTTGGTCCAGATTGACTCACTGAATCTTTGCAAACTCATAAGACAGTCGCTATCAATATCCCCATTACACACATGTGGAAAATGAAGCCCAGAAAGGTTAAGCAACTTACCTAAGTTCTTCAAACTAATGAATCAGACCCAGGACAGCTGGCTGTGAGAAAGTTCTCACCCAGCCTCACCACCCTGCGAAGGGCTTACGCATCTGGGAGGAAGCAGATGGGAGGCTGGTTCACCATCTCCCCTTATTCATAACGAATTCCATCTAATAGTGTCATGATGGTGACATCAGAGCTTTCAAATCACCCCAAGGGGATATGAATTCTAACTCGCCACTAACTACCTGTAGGCCTTGGGCCACTGACTTTATCTGAGTCTTAGCTTCTGCATCGATAAAAATGAAGTGTAGCATGGTATCTGCTATATCAAAAGCACTCTACCTACTAGCCATTATTTTTAATAATGCAAAAGAGTTACAAACACTTAGAGAGTGTACAAAAAGAGTTAAAATCTAGGCTCTACTACTTGCTTGTTGTTTGACTTTGGGCAAGTTCTTTGGCTTCTCCGAGTCTCAGCCGCCCCATTTGTAAAATGGGAACAATACCTGTACTGACCTCACAAAGTTGCAGGAGGATTAAATGAGATTGTTTGTGAAGATCTTGGCAGAGCATCTGGCATATGGGAAGCGCTCCAGAATGGTAACTCATGTTTTAGGTCCTGAACTCATTCTAACACGTAAAAGGCTGACAGCAGTTTAGAATATGAGCCCTCCTGTTGGTGTTTGCAGTTTTGTACAGCTCAGAGCCTTACATTGTGGGGATGAATTTCCGAGAGTTTGATGCTTTTGAAGATGGAAGGGACAGATCTGAGGAGGGAGTGTCACGGCTAAAAACATTTGAGAGCATCATGTTGTGTGTTGGGCTCCACTCAGCACACATCATATGTATTAATTTATTCATTCTATCAACTCTGTGAGGTGGAGAGTGACATGGCAGTCTTTACTAGTGACAAACTGTGCAGAGACAGAGAAGTGAGTGGAATTACCCAAGATTTCACACCCTATGAACAGCAGCCCTGGGACCTGAATCCAGGCAAACTGGCGTTGAAGCTGCACCACAATTGCCTGCTGCACCCAGGCTGGTAGTCGCATTTTTACAGCTCTGGGGTCCCGGCAGTGGGAACCAGCACCATTCAGAGCCACACACCCAGGGCCTCTGGGAAAGTAACCATCCACAAAGACATCTGATGAAGGAACAATCCCTAAAAGGGAGCAGTGTCGGACTGTTCATCCATCAGACATTTTGAGAACACGGAACAATGCTTCAGATGGGAAAGTGATCAATCCTGGAAGAAGCTATGGTGTGGAGAAAGACCGGTGGGGGTGAGGGTTAGGGGCAGAGCTGGGGAGATGCTGGTAGGAGTCCAGAGTCCCAGACTGACCAGTTCTGGGATCTTCTGCGACTTCTGGGGGAGAAGGGTTCTTTTTGTTGCTGTGTTATAAAATCAAGGTCTCTAGGATGAGCAGTTCATAGCCTATACTGCAGGGTTAAGACCTGCTGACCAGGTGAGAGGAGGTCTGGTGTCCAGAGACTCTGCATCCTCAGACATCCCTGGATCCAGCATCAGAGAAGTCTTCACACTGTCCCTAGAATCTTCATATGCTTTGCCACCTTTCTCTCTGCTCACCTGCAGGCTACATCATGCCAGCTGTCTGCCATCAATCACAGGACAGGCAGGATGAAGGACTTAGTGGACTTTGAACCTGGAGAGCAAAGGCTGTTAGTGGCCCCCCATTTCTCTGAAGTCGTGAAATAGAATGGTTTAGCCAGCACTCCCGGGAACTCAGCAGCAGGGCAATTTGAGTCTACACCTAAACCACCACTTCTTTCAGGGTCTGGAGGAGCCACTGTGAGGAACCCAGATCTTCGGGTGTTTAAAATCAGCTACAATGTTTGGCGCTCAATGCAGGGATCTAAGTTTTCTTTGTTGAAATTTAAAGTCCATGGGGTTGCGAAGAGTCAGACACGACTGAGCGACTTCACTTTCACTTTTCACTTTCATGCACTGGAGAAGGAAATGGCAACCCACTCCAGTGTTCTTGCCTGGAGAATCCCAGGGACGGTGGAGCCTGGTGGGCTACTGTCTATGGGGTTGCAAAGAGTCGGACACGACTGAAGTGACTTAGCAGCAGCAGGGATTTTTAAAGTAAGAATGGAGGAATATCAGGTGTAAAGATGCAGACACAGAAGCAAGTACCCAAGATTCCCCAAATAGGGTGAAGAGGTGTTGACTGCAAGGGAGGCAGAGTTGAAAGCCAAGTGCCTAGGTGCTTGCTGTCAACAATGATCACTGGTCACATGAGAAAGTATCAGAGAGTCAACAAAACACTGCGATCACTTTGTGTCCATTTCTGACTGCTCTGCTTTCTATCCTGTCAGTCAACAGTGAGTGCCACCTAAATTTCCAGCACAGGGCTGGGCATTGGGATCGCCAACATTAACAGACAAAGTGTTTGTCTTGGGGGGCTCCCAGTCTACTAGTATAGCCAGTCCTCAGACCCTGTACACAGCACCCAGCATCGAGCAAGGGCAAGGATGTGCCTGGGTGCCCAGGTGCGCGGCAAAGGGGATATCCAAGGAGGAGGTGATGTCTGATCCCAGGGTTCCAGGAGGAGGAGGGGTCAGCAGACGGGGTAAGGAGGGGTGGGCATAGAGAAAGCAAGCCAGGCAGAGGAAACCCAGCAGGATCAGGAGGTATGGACAGCGTGATGTGACCCAAAGCTTGGCATCTCCAGGGTGGGCAGGCCAAGCAGGGACTGCTGAGAGCTGAGACTGGAGAAGCAGAGAGAAACCTGATTAAGGAACGACTCCTGTGCCAAGTGATGAGCTGGTGCTTTGGGTCAGTATTCCTCAGCACTGATTGCATGTTACTACCATCTGAAGAAGTTTTAAATATACACATGCACATAGACATATATACCCATACTAGACGCCTGGACCCCGCCCTGTCAATATGATGAGACGTGGGATGGAGCCAGCACAGAGGTGTTCTCTGATCCCCCATGAGACTCTGAGGTGCAGCCAGGCTGAGAGCTTCCCCTGTCGTCAGCCTCCTCTGGCCTCCATGGGGAGAACATGGAAAGGGACAAAACTGGTGAGAGAAAGGCCACTTGGGGGTAAATTTATTTGCCAGAGCTGCTGCCATAACAAAAAGCCACAGACGGCACAGCTTAAGCCACGGAAATTAACTTCCTCACGCTTCCGGAGGCTGGCAGTCCAAGATCAAGAGGCTGGCAGGTTTAGTTCTTCTGTTTGTTTTGGCCACGTGGCACGCGGGATCTTAGTTCCCAGGCCAGGCATCAGACCCGTGCCCTCTGCATTGGAAGCTCAGAGTCTGCCATGGACATCCTGGTTTAGTTCCTTCTGAAGGCCCTTTTCCTTAACTTGTGTCCTCACACGGTCATCCCTCTGCTTCATTCTAACCTCCTCTTCCTGTAAGGATACCAGTCATGCTGGAGGGGGGTCACCTCATGATTGAACGCACTCCTCTCCTCAAAGGTTCTGTCTCCTTAATTTAGAGCCCTTTTCTGAGGTACTGGGGGTGAGGGCTTCAAACTATGGACTTAGGGGTCAATTCATGACATACTCAGACCATGAAAGGAGGCCATCAGAGTCGCTCAGGGGGAGATGTAAAGGAGAGTTGTAGGCTGTGGCTGTGTATTAGATGGGAGTGGGAGCAGAGAGGAGTTGGCGTGTAAAGCTGCTGGGGATTATAACCCCAGCTAGGATGATGGGGGGATTGAAGATGACTCCCCAGTTCCTGGCAAGGACAGGAGTGTCAAGGGTTGAGGAGTTTGTGGGGAATGGAGAGGAGGAAAGAGTGTGTTGCCTTTGTGATATCTGCATCGGCAAAAATGGGGGTTTGTAAGAAAGAGCTCAGCCTGAGAGTCAGATTTCTGAGTCATCAGTATGTGGAGGGAGGGTTGTGTGAGATCCCTGGCCCTCTAGAAGGTGTAGACACAAAAGTCTGAGGACCAAACTTTTCAGAAGAGCAAATTCTGAGGGGCGAAAAGGATGATAGGAACTCATTTGTGATTAAGCCAGAAAAACAAACCAAAAAACAACTAGCATCTTCTTTCTCTTTGACCTGAAGTAGAGTCCCCCTAAATCATATAGAAGTGACATGAAAAGAGATTACTAATATAGAAGTGATGGGAACCATAAGTTACATAAAAAATGAAACAAGAATCAAGAAAGAAGTTACTGACGGATGTTTGGTTTGTTAATTAGAGGTCTGGCTTTCCAGATCTCTTCATTTTTTATGTGATGTGTGTGGGTGTGCTCGGTCATGTCTGACTTTCTGTGGCCCAATGAACTGTGGCCTGCCAGGCTCCTCTGTCCACGGAGTTTTCCAGGCAAGGATCCTGGAGTGGGCTGCCATTTCCTTCTCCAGGGAATCTTCCCAACCCAGGGATCAAACTCTTGTCCCCTGTGTCTCTTGCATCAGCAGGAGGATCCTTTACCATGCTGCACCTGAGAAGCCCCTTGTCATGTGCTGCTGGTGAATTAATAGATCTCTCAACAAAAGGGTATTTAAATCAACGTATGACACCTGCTAAAATTCTCAAGAAGCCATTAATTACACACTCTTAAGAAAATGAGCTATGATACAACTAACTGTATAATTCGTATCTGTGATTCTTAATCATACGACTTTCCAGCTGCAAGATGGATCTTCTCTATTCATCTTCCCTGGTTCTGACCAATTAAACATTTTCTTTCATAATCATAACACTTCATGGGCCAAATCTTCAAAAGAAAAGGAGCTTGTTAGCAACATACCATCTCCCCTTGCTCATTTATGCTGCATTAGAATTCCTAAAAGTATATACATACAGGACATTATTAACACATTCAAGCTTAGCAGAACAATAACAATATTATTTGGTGGTCTAATTTTTTTATGCATGTGTTTCCAGAATAATTCTTTAAAAACTTTATAAATGAATAACTTTAAAAATTCCTGTCAAACTGAGGTCAAATTTTGCCCATAGCCTATGTATGCTGAGAGAATACAGATGATAATGATGAGTGTGTAAGTTTATTCAGGAGAAATCATTATCTTCTAAAGGAATTAGAATGTCTATACAGATAGCCTTTGGGTACTTTATAGCTTGATTCATGTTTAATGTTCACTGACAACATGTATCTTTGAGTCATTTATTTCATAACTGTACAGAGGCCACTGTAGGTTTCTTTTCCGGAAACCATTCATTCCCAATCATCAAAGCACACGTTTTCTGCACTAGGGGTTTCTAAATGTGATGCAGGAGCAGCACGGGGAACAGTAAGTGGTCTTGTTCCCAGTTAGCCTGCTCTGTCTAAGATTCCACAAGCTTGACCCATCCCCCAGGCTCACCAAGCATAAGGTGAAAATCAAGAGTTATGGCTTCAACCAGAGCCAAATCTGACCATGCAGCAACCTACTGTCCTTGGTTGCACAAACTCAGGCACCCCAGTGGTTTATATACTATCTTTGGCAGAAGCTGAGTAGCTGAAATAGTGACTATAAAATCAGAGCTTAAAATATTTACTATCTGGCCTTATACAGAAAAACATTGTCAACTCCTGGTACAGTCTACTTGCAATTCTCACTTAACTAGCTCAAGTGCTATGAAAAATACAAGCCAAGAGGTCAACCACATCACAATTTACTCTTGCTGGATGCAAATCTATATCATTTAAAGGCAGCTTTCTTTTTATTCTTACACTGTCACCTTTCCTTGGGCTTCCCCGGTGGCACTAGTGGTAAAGAACCTGCCTGCCAATGCAGGAGATGTCAAGAGACATGGGTTTGATCCCTGGATTGAGAAGATCCCCTGGAGGAGGGCATGGCAACCCACTGCAATACTCTTGCCTGGAGAATCCCATGGACAGAGGAGCCTGGCGGGCTATAGTCCATAAGGTCGCAAAGAGTCAGACATGACTGAATAGACAGTGCATGCATGCATCATCTTTAGCCTTTTATTCATGGTTCCTGAAACAAACCATCAGTTGGTCCAGTGTAACACTCATGTTTAGAAGGCAGATGTTAGCCACTGATTTCTTTGCCTAATGAGTAAAAAAGATATGTGAGCCTGCAAAATGAGAGGCTGGAGTCAGTGCCCCTCATCCAGTCCTTAATCCGGGATGGACTGCCAGTCACCTGCAGCCCTGTGGCTCATGTGATGGGCAGACGCTTCTCGAGGTGCTGGGCAGCAGGAACATAGGATGGGATGGAGTGTTCTTATATGTAGACTCTGCAACCCTGCTGCTTGTGATGTGTTGACAGCAGCCCTTGGCTTACTGCCCCCCGCTTAATTTGACTCAGTCTCCCCTGACATCTCCAGATCCTGCCAAGTCACATGATTTTGGAACAAAGACAAAATGTCTCTGTTTCTGGTACACAGCGTTTTCAAAATCAAAGTCTGTCCAGGGCTGTATCTCCCCTCCCCATATCAGTCTTCCCACTCATGAAAAACTCTTCATACACAGATGTAGGATGGTCCCTGCATTCAGTCTGAGAGCACAGTGAGGAAATATGAATTAGAGAATATACGAGGGCTTCTCTCTGCATGCGATTATGCTTGCACTCTGAAGGCCAGTGAATAAACCAGCCACAGAGGCAGACAGTTTATAAAATTGTTCAGAAAGCCCTAGTAAGCAGGGCCATAACCACTCCCACCCATTTCTCTCTCGTACCTGATCTCCTTGTAGCGTGTGCTGGTCAAGGGGTGTCTTGGTGGCAATGTTGCTGTAGTAGGCATAGGACAACTCCCAGTCCAGGGGGTAGTTATCAATACCCTGGTAATGTTTATACCCAAGATTCATCGAAGACAGTCTCTCACTGCCCTGGCCTCCAACCAAACTATACAACATGCCCTGTTAGGAAGAAACAGACAATGTTCACAAGATTACAGAAAAGGGTGGTAAAATTCTAACATAGGAAGGTCATCTGGACCCACCCCTATAATATGAGCTTAGGCATGCTAGAAACAAGTTAATACGCCTTTTAAAAAAACTTTAGACAGGACTTCCCTGGTGGTCCAGTGGTTAAGACCCTGTACTCCCAATGCAGGGAGCCCAATGTATGGGCTCTGTCTCTGGTTGGGGAACTAAGATCCTGCATGCCACACTGTGTGGTCAAAAAACAAAACAAAACAAAAAACATGAAAAAGTCATAAGAGCTTTCTTGTGATTATCTGTCCTCAATGCCTAATAGCTGAAAATTCCTTTGTTCTTCTCTCAGTGAAGACGGGGTCTTCCCCTGACTTATCTCACAGCATCTCTTCGGGTATCCGCCAACTGTTCTAAGGATGCTGGCCCACTTCAGCTACATCATCTATGGTCAGATGATCTGAATGGTGGGCCACGTTCCAACCTCACATTCTCAGAATGTCAGTGCTGGGAAGGGTCCTTAGAGATCGACTGGTCCAACCACCTCATTTGAGAATTGAGGAAATAGAGGCTCAGAGAGTTGAAGTCATATATCTTTGGTCAACCAGCCGTTTTGTGGCAGAAACAGGGCTCAAGTCTCTTACTCTATTCCAGCTCGGAGGCTACTGCCCCAGGGACTTAGGAAAGCACGCCATCAGTCATGAGCTGTTCAGCCAGGGCACGACTGAAGCGACTTAGCAGCAGCAGCAGCTACAGCCAGACACACACACAGAGAAATCAAGTGAAAGGAACATGGAGCCACCTCGGAGGGTCTAAACTGTCTGAGTCTCTTCAAATCCAGGTTAAACAATCCGGGGTGCAAATACAAAAACTATGTGATCAGGGATTATTTAGCAGCACTTATAAAAATGCAATTCCAGATGTTAAGCAAGTTGCATAAGAAATTTGGATTCAACACCATAAACAAAACAGTCTAGTATGACTTTTGTTTTAACGGTGTGCAATTAGCTCAGTCGTGTCTGAATCTTTGCCACCCCATAGACTGTAGCCTTCCAGGCTCCTCCGTCCATGGAATTCTCCAGGCAAGAATACTGGAGTGGATGCCTTTCCCTTCTCCTGTTTTAATGGCAGAAGCCTGAATGTGACAATCCTTTGCTTAGAGGTCTAAATGATTCCGCTAAGCTAAAAAGTCATATGGGATGACGGGCCCACAGCTAGAATAGTTACAAGAACTGGGTAACAACAATAACAACAACAACAACAACAAAGAATTGGGTATGAAGCACCTGTTCTTGAAGGATTAGGATTTTGATAAGCCCTGCACAAACTATTCCTTAGTATACCAATCGTATCCCCATGCTGTGTCCAGAAATGGATAAAGTGCACTTTTTCACTCACCGCCAGCAGGGGATTCTGTATTTAACACAGCCCTAAGCTGTTTTTCTTGAGTGTCAAGATTTTAAAGGACTCCGGGGAGCATGAATATGTCCAGTTCTACCTGGGGCACAAGGGCCCCACTCTGCAAATACCATCTAGGTGACGGATATTCCTGGGACACATGAAATACTCTACCTGCAGCTGATCCCGAGGTACAGTTAATCCAGTTTCATAAAAGACTGCGAGGTAGTAGGATGCTTTATGGTATCCACAGCAGCTGGCATCCATCAGAAAAGGGACGATGGAGCTAATTTGGTGAAGGCCATCAACACTGGAGAGTCTCTTTACAGCCTTCTCGAATATCCGCCCACCGAAGTCTAATACAGATTCATTTTGGTTCCGTGGCACTGTAAATAACACAATTCGCAGCACACACAATTAACTACCATGGGATCGACATGGCTTTAAAAAGAACTGGGAAGAGCCAATTAAATCACCTGAGTTATTAATATTGCTGGTCCTGCAGTGCCTTGAAATATACCACCTTCCGGGGAAGTAAATCAAACCTGTTGGGGATGCCAGGGTGTCATTCTGTAAATAGCTTTTCCTTTAGCACTAGATGACAGTCTAGTATCCTGGGGGAAAAGATGTGCTTTCTATAGCTGAGAGAATGCCTCAAGAGAATCATCTACTCAGTGTAACGCACACCAAGTTAGGACCTCCAAAACCGCCAGAGAGATTTTTTTTTCCCTCTAAGACTCTGAAGGAAAGTGTGTTTTATCTCAGAAATAGATCCTAGGTGCTGCTGTAAAAAGTTGAGCACAAGAACCTTATTTTGAGATCCCTTCTTATCATCTTTTGCCTCCGGTTTTCCTTGTGGGTTTCTAAATACAACAAAAAGGACGTCAGCTTTTATTGAAGGCTTATGAAATGCCCAATACTGGGTTGAGTGCTTTATGCAAATTATGTCATGTAATCCAAACAATTTTAGGAGGTAGGTACTATTATTAGGGTCTTAATTTTTCAGATGAGGAGGCTGAAGTCTGGAGAAGTCAACTAACTTGTCTAAAGTTAAAAAGCTGGCAAGTGGCTGAGCCAAGCCTGGAATCCAGCTTGGTAGGTCACAGAAAAAGATTCCTCTTCGCTGCGCACCAGCTTCTTCCTGATAGTAGGCAACCAGGTGTCTTAATAAGTACCTTACTGCCATGGATAGAGACCTCTCTATACAATTGCTTTAAACTATGGCACTTCCTTTCACCTAATCCTCCCATAAATTGATAAACTAAGTCCAAACGGGCAAGTTATAAGGCCTTATAATCTGTCACAGTCCTTTAAAGTCTATCTACATTATTCATCTCTCACTTATTAATCAGCCAGTGAATGTTTACAGTTCTACTCTGTGTATCTACTAGATGCTATGTTACAAAACGTCACATAGGATTGCATAGGTACTACTTCCATTTAAAGAGATGCAGTCAACTTATTTAAAATGAAAATTTTCTCCCCTAAGAATTACGTCCAACATTTTTCTTTGCTTTTCTTCAATCTATCCCATATTAAAATGTTACTAACAACTGCCAGGAGGCAATGGGAGACTCATTCTATCAGCACTCCATCAAAGCAATGCGGGAGACCTGGGTTCGATCCCTGGGTTGGGAAGATCCCCTGGAGAAGGGAAAGGCCACCCACTCCAGTGTTCTGGCCTGGAGAATTCCATGGACTGTATAGTCCTTGGGGTTGCAAAGAGTCAGACACGGCTGAGCGACTTTCACAAAAAATTCACAAAAGGCATGAACAGAGATAAGTTTCCACTGCTGGAAACCTCTCGCTGGAGGATTTGAGATCGGATTGAAGGGCAGTTCATTGGCAGAGGCTGATTCATTGGCAGAGGTTGATGCCTCTGCCTTAGCATCACAGAAGCCAGCGGAATCCGACGGATGAAACTGTGAGGCCCACGCCATTGATTATGAGCTGGTGCCTATCCCTTTGAGCGCATAGGGAGCTGACCGCCCCTGTCAGCGAGGCAGGTGCCTTCACTTGCTAAGCTGTGGGAACGGTACCCGCCCACCACCTCCACTCAGCGCTAAGGTAGTCCTATCTCCTGGCTCCTGAAACTCCTCACCCTCACCCTCTTTAGTTTGTTCAGAGGCAGCACCTTGGATCAGCTTTTACTCTCTCCCTCTTAAGAGGTGAGTGCTGAAAGAACCACCTCACTGAACAAATGGACTTTGCTCATCCTTCTGTATTTTTTTTAATTCCTAAAGAATCAGCTGCTTGTTGTTAAAAAAAAAAAAAAGACTCAAACAAAGTAGGTTTATATAAAATAAAAAGTCCCCCCTCTTTCAGTCATTCTTTAATTATAAAGGAAAACTATTGAAAGTTTGCTGTATGTACTTCTAGACTTTTCCTCAGCATAGATAACAATTCATTACACATCTATCTGCCTATATACATACATATACTTTTTTCTTTCCAAAAAGTTCCTATAGATTCAAACTCTCAACTTTTTTCCCTTATGAATATTTTTATTGAAATTAGTTTAACATTGTGTTAGTATCAGCTGTAGAACAAAATGACTCATACATATTCTTGTTCAGATTCTTTTCCATGATAGATTATTACAAGATATTGAGTCTAGTTCCCTACGCTTATCTGTCAACTTTCTTTTTTAAATTAACAGCATACCACAGATATCTGTCCACAGCAGTCAGAAGCTTATTCTTCTTCCTAAATTTAATAGTATTGCATTCTATAGCAGTGTTGTTTGTCCAACCAGTTCTCTATTTTTAGCCTCTTGGGTTGCTTCCAGTGGTTTGGCTATAACCAACAACATGCCAATGAACATCCTTGAACATTTTCCTCTGCTCATCTGTTGGGATGGATCTGAATAATAACACCCTTTTCCACCAGGAGTCTGGGGCTCTTCTTTTGAATTTTCTCTCTGCAGAGCTGAGAGAATTCCATCCCATCCAACCATTAGACAGGGTGAGAACCTATTGCAGTGATTCAGTGTATACTGCAGCACTCAGATGGAGTTGCAAAATAAACCCTACTCCTACTTGTTCTTATATTTACTTTTAAATACATACTCATCTCCAATGCCCCTTTGTGCACACTCAGAGCAAAGCAATATTACCATTTTGTTAACGATTCATTCTGGCCTTACCTGCTTTGCCAAACACATAACTAAGATGATGAGTTTTGCCTGAGTACCCACGGACATGGGCTTTGGGGACTCAAAGGAGAGAAGAGACTCCAAACTAAATGAAGCTCCAAATGAAACACTTGCCCTGCTGACATCTGGCACAGAACCCCAGAAATCATTAGCAGGATTGTCCCAGAAGCACAGATTGCTGGAGAATAACAATCAGGAGAGAGAAACTTCACAAAGTTCAAATCCTCAGCAAATGCACACACACACACACAAATTTGCAGGCTGAAACGAAGACAGGTAGAAAAGGCTTCATTATTTCTTTTACCTATTAAAATTCTTAACTCCCCCCCAAACATTACCAATCGGTACTTTCTCTACAAAAGAATCTAGACAGTTCTCTGCCCTTGTGGATATAATAATAAAATAATAATACTGCTAAAGGAAAACTGCTCATTTTGCACGTTTTTTTAAAGTTTGCATTTCAAATGTGGCACAAAATCAAAGCTCTGATGTCACTGGTGGTATTGTAAAACTGGCTATCTAAAAATACATTTAATGAGACTGTTAATTTCACCCATCTGGTTTAGCATATGCATTTTTTTTCTAGTGGGTCTGTAACTAAAAAACATGCTTTGTTTATGGAGATTAATGGGGTAATGAAAAACAAACAAACAAAATAGAAATGGAGACATTTTCCCATTTTTCTTCCTTCCTACATGAGAGGCTAAGGAAACAAAAGGCACCACCACGTTAATTAACTCTCACTCTCGTCCCAGGAGCACAGTATTGTTTATTTTGCTCTTTTCTCTTTTTTCCAGCAATACCACAAGGTCACCATTTGTGCGCTCATCATTAAAAGAGGCAAAAAGCAGAAAACAAGAAGGTAGCCGCCTACTGAAGGAGCTGAAGCCACATCTGATGGAGAATTTGGGAGAAAAAGGTAGGCTTGTTTATTCCTTGTGAGGGGAAAAAGACACATTAAGAAAGTCATTGTTGGTTTCAACCTTCCGAAAGGTATAATGTATCCAGAGAAGTTTGAAAAGGGGGAAAAAAACATGAAAGAAGAAAATATCATTTAACCAGAAAAGGAAAGGTCTTCACTAAGTTTTACTAATTTTTTTTTTTTAATAGCGCATCTCTCATTTGCATTTTCATTTGATGAGCCCCACAGGGGTCCTGAGACTAAAAGTGGTGGCTTATTTCTCTCTCCAAAATAAACTATTTGTACTTTTCTGTCCTGTGTAGATTTTCTGGCTTTATACATGTCGTTTCTCTTCCTCCCTCCTCTTCTCCCCACTCCCTCCTTCTTTTTATCTCTTTCTCTGTGTGTATTTTTTTAAAACTATAATGTATACTTCCTTGAATTAAAAAAATAAGATAGGGGCCCTTTAAAGAAAAACAGCAAACATAGCTCTTAAATTCCAGAGTACCCTGGCATTGCTTAATAACACCATTGTGTTTCTACCCTTTTCATGCTCTGCATTTTAGTCTCCAAATAAACACTGCAAAAATATGAAGAGTTGGGGGGCTTCCCTGGTAGCTCAGACAGTAAGGAATCTGCCCACAAGGTGGGAGATGAGGGTTTGATCCCTGGGTTGAGAAGATCCCCTGCAGAAGGGAATGGCAACCCACTCCAGTATTCTTGCCTGGAGAATCCCATGGACAGAGGAGCCTGGTGGGCTACAGTCCGAGGGGTCGCAAAGAATCAGACATAACTGAGAGACTAACACTTTGACTTTCAGGAACAAGCTAGAGTGAAACTAGTGCAGCCTGCACCCCTCTGCATATTGCAAAGAGGAACCTCGTCTCCTGCATTCCACTCTCTGAAGCCTGGGGCAGGAGCCAGGCAGAGTCCCGCAGGAACAATGCAGATGGCCTCAGCCCTAGGACGGGAGCCCAGCCGCAGACCTGGCGTCCCCCTGAGGACCACTGAGGACCCCCTGAGGCAGAACTCAGCCTCTCTGTAGCCACAGTCACCAGCTCTCACGGGCTCAGGATGCCCAGTCTGGCAATGAAAAGAAGAGAGGGAGTCAACAGTGTTGGCCCCGGGGCACCTGTCTGGAGGGCGTGCTGGCCGCTCACCTGTCTCGCTTACCTGGCCCTCCCTGCCGGGGAGTCCCCCTGCACCTAGGCCTCTGTGTCCTTCCTCGATCCTTCCTACCACAAGCAGTTCTCTGATTCAGAGCCCACACCTGGTTCTGCCTGGTTCTGCCATTCCAGCAGCCTCTTACCAGCCAGTCCCCACCATCTCTC